GTACTTCACATGTGTATTCATTGTACTTACTTGATGAACAAAGCGTACCATATTTTTTGATGAATTGAATTGTACCAATTTCATTGACGCTTTAATGATCAATAAGTACGGGAGATGCATAAATTATGTTTTAGATGATTATTTTAATGTAGGTGAGCATTATTGTTGCGTTTGGAATACAAGATCCCATAAATATGTTGAATTTCATACATGATACTCATATACTATACAATATATTCATACAAGTATACAATGCTCAAGTGTAAAACTAATATTTTCCTCAATTGTTACCATAATCGATATTGATCGACTCCCACATTGTCTCCATTCATTCTTAATAGTCTTAAAATGAAGAGTTGTGTCTTAAAATGCGATCATATGGATGCATTGGCCCCACAATAATATCTAGAGTGTAACAATACTATATGAATGGCAAACATATACTTCATCAGTGAACAAAGCGTACTATATTCACGAATAACCCGAACTTTACCAGCTTATACATTGTACTTATTTGGTGAACAAAGCGTACTATATTCACGAATAAACCGAACTTTACCAGCTTATACATTGTACTTATTTGGTGAACAAAGCGTAATATATTCACGAATAACCCTAACTTTACCAGCTTATACATTGTACTCTTATGTTCACTAATTAAACAACGGGACATAGGTTTTACATACATGTAGACTGCAAATATTACTAGATTCAACACTATTAAACTATGAACTACTCCACCTTCAGAATTGCAATTCTTCACTTCACTTTCTTGATGGACTTGGTTCATCGACGCACTTGTAGCTTCATTTTCTTCACGATTTGAGTTGGAAAAAGTTTGCCCAACTTCAAATGGTTCACACCAATGGGAGTAGCCATGGTGTGGGCAACAGTAAAATAACCTTCCGGGATTCAAAATAGTTTCTGAAACCATGATTATTGTTTTCTTCCCACAATCAAGACACTTACATTTCCCTTTTTTGTATTTTAACCCACTCATTTGAGTGGTGCTACTCGAAGAGTAGCATCACCACAAGTGTGCTCAAGATTGCATTTACGAATGCTAAATAACTTATCTGACTTGTACAATAATGCATAAACCCTCCATTTGCAGTTTTCGTCAATGCATACTGCTATGATCTTTTGTTGATCATTTTTCATGTACTTAAATGATCGATTATTAGCAATATAATAGTTTTTCAGCATATGCCTAAAATCATCAGGATCTTTAAAAAACTGATTCTCCCCACGGATGCAATGTCTCTATGCATCAATTGAATTTCTAAGCGGATTACCCTCGATTTCCATCGATTGATCGCCGCTTTTAGTTTAAAAAAATTTAAAAAATAGATTACAGTAGAGTGGAATCCAAATAACAATGTACATGAAAATATCATAACAATGCACTGGTTCCATACTATCTTCTCCATTATATAATACTAAGTTTTCCCACAAATAGTACCAAGTTTACCTATCACCTATACTATCCGAATAATGGTTACGTACTGTCTTCCCCATTATATGATACTATGTTTTCCCACCAACAGTACCAAATTTACCTATCACCCATACTATTCAGATGAAGGTTACGTACTATCTTCCCCATTATATTATGTTTTCCCACCAACAGTACCAAATTTACCTATCACGCATACTATACGTATAACGATTACGTATTGTAAGTACCATACGTCCATACCATATTTATATTAGCATGGTACTATTGCGTGCCATATTTTATACTATGTATCACAATAATTAACAACCATAAAGAAATGCATTTCAGTAGTACAGAAAAATATGGAGATCTACCAGCATCGGTGCGAACCCTCTTTCGTCGGAAAAAAGAGGAAACCAGAGGAGAGAAAGAGAGAAGAAATAGAGAAGAAAAAGAGCAGATAGAAATGAAGAAAGAGAAGAAAGAAAGAGAAGATGAAGAGAGAGAAAATGAAGAGAGAGAAAATAAGGAGAGAGAAAAGGGTGAGAGTGAAAAAGAAGAGAGAAAATATAATAAAATATATTAAATTTACATTAGGGACTGATCTGCATGTCAGACGCGTGAATAGGGACTGATTTGCTTGAAGAAACTACCTAGGGACTGATCTGTGATTTGAGTTTTGGATTAGGGATTTATCTGTAGTTTCCCCTTTTTATATATCAAACGGAGACTATGTTTTATCAGCCCACATGAGAAAGCTTTATTGAGAATAAAAGTCCCTAAATGGGCCTAACCAATGAAAAATCCAAGTCTTAAAGAACCCAACACCTTTTGCAATCATTAGCGATTTTATTATAACTCGGCCTCATAAGAACCACGAGTTTAGTATCGCAACAAACACGCTTTTTCAATCCCACTTGAGAGGATTTCACAAATATTTGAAATCCAACCAGTGGTGAGTGTATCGTAGAAATTACGCCGGCGTTCGTTGCGTCTTATTAAACATGATTGTTAAAACTAATGAACAACGAACATAGTAGAATATTTTCTGTGTGTATTCTTCTCAATAGAGGTATGAGTATTTATACACAAAATAATAAGATAAACAAGGAAACCTAATCAAATCAATTCCAAAATTACATTCTAATCAAATCTCATAATTATGGAACCCATATATATTAGTATCTAATCATATCCTATAATTATGGTACTAATATATCTTAACATCCCCCCTCAAACTCAAGTTGGGTCAACACAGACCAAATTGAGTTTGGTAACAAGGGTGTTGAACCGACTGGTGAATGCACTTTAGTAAAAAGATCAGCAGTCTGAACAGCAAAACTTTCACAAACAAAATTTCCTTAATAGAACTCCCCTCAAATTAGAGGAGTATGCAGTAGACAACTCGATAAATCACGATCACAAATGGAAATTTTCACCATTCTCTTCTCGAACAAAGGATAAGGCTGCCACAAAGGGCAGAGGAAAAGGCTACCAGCAAAGGTAGAGGAAAAGGCTGCCACCAAGGGCAGAGAAAAAGGCTGCCAACGAGGCAGATGACTAGGCTACCAACAAAGGTAGAGGAAAAGGCTGCCACCAAGGGCAGAGAAAAAAGGCTGCCAACGAGGCAGATGACTAGGCTGCCAACAACGGCAGAGGCTGTCAATCAAGGGCAAACAAGGCTGCCAACAACGACAGAGGCTGCCAACGAGGCAGATGACAAGGCTGCCAACAATGGCAGAGGCGGATTTGCAGTAGCATATCCAGCAAAAAACACTTTGTAAAGAGAAAAAGTGGGATAACATCTACAAAGAATATCAATCTAAGCGAAATAGCAGATTACCAACCACAAGAAGATTTGTGAGAGGCCGGCGAACTGACGGAGAAAAAGACACCGAAAGAAACGAAGGTCGGAGGGGGCTTAGGCGATGACGCGTGGGTTAACGGCAGCGGAAGGTGGTGGTGGGTTAACGGCGGCGGAAGGTAGTGGCGCATGGAGCTCACACGCACGATTTTCGGCAGCAAAAAAAAAGACGGATTTCGCAAATCGGCAGCCGACGAAGTGAATGGAAAGGGCGGTGAGAAGATAGGCGGATGAGAATGCATTTTCGAGAGGAGGTCTTGGACAGAAGGAGAAAAAGCCTAGGATTTTATCCCAGCTCTGATACCATGTTAAAACTAATGAACAACGAACATAGTAGAATATTTTCTGTGTGTATTCTTCTCAATAGAGGTATGAGTATTTATACACAAAATAATAAGATAAACAAGGAAACCTAATCAAATCAATTCCAAAATTACATTCTAATCAAATCTCATAATTATGGAACCCATATATATTAGTATCTAATCATATCCTATAATTATGGTACTAATATATCTTAACATACCATATAGGAAGAATAGAATATGAGAAGGAGAGAAAGATAGAATAGAAACCCCCATTGTGTTATGGGTTGATTACATGGAATATATATAGAGAAATATTCCAAGGTAATAGAGTTTGACTAGGTAACTAAATCCTAACTAATCTAGGTAACTGAATCATAATAGAATCCTAATATTAGGAGAGTTCTATAATATAATATTCTCTAACACGCCCCCGCAGTCGAAACGTGACGAACGTGAAGACTGGACAATCACTTGCTAGCACGCTCCCGCAGTCGGAACGAATAAACTTCAAACGTGAAGACTGGACAGAAACCGCGAAACACATCGCTAGAGAATTCCTCTGTTGAAATATCTGCCAAATTTAAAAAAAAAAAATAATAATAATAATAATAACGGGTGAGAGAAAAATAAGAATTTTTTTATTTTTTTTTATTTTTTTTATTTTTTTTTTTATCAAGATAGAGAGAAGAGATGAGATGAGAGAGGTGGGAAGAAGATGAGTGGTGTTCGCCGGCCATGGAGAAGAAGAGAGGTAGCGGCTAGGTTTTAGGCCATGGAGAAGAAGAAGAAGAAAAAGATAGAGAAGATACACCACCGAGAGAGGGAGAAAATTCGGTTTGGTGGTCGCCGACCATTGAGAAGAAGAGAAGCGGCGGCTAGGTTTTAGGCCATGGAGAAGAAGAAGAAGAAGAAGAAGATAGAAAAAGAAGAAGAAGAAGATAGAAAAAGATAGAGAAGCACCACCGGGGGAGGGAGAAAATTCGGGTGGTGTTCATAAAAAGATAGATAGAAAAGAAGAAAAATATTAGAGTACCACCACCGGGGGAGGGAGAAAATTGGGTGGTCACCGCCATGGAGAAGAAAGGCGGCTAGGTTTTCACCGCCATGGAGAAGAAAGGCGGCTAGGTTAAAAAAACCTAAACCTGGAGCTCTGATACCATATAGGAAGAATAGAATGAAAGATAGAATAGAAACCCCCATTGTGTTATGGGTTGATTACATGGAATATATATAGAGAAATATTCCAAGGTAATAGAGTTTGACTAGGTAACTAAATCCTAACTAATCTAGGTAACTGAATCATAATAGAATCCTAATATTAGGAGAGTTCTATAATATAATATTCTCTAACAATGATCGTGGTTTATTCTAGCACTTGTCTCAAATCAAAGGCGTTCCTCTGTTTCTAGGGTTTTTTCAATTTTCTTTCTCAAGTTCATATGCTCTCCCGCAAACCCAATTAATCAAATGATGAGGTAATACTTTTCTCTATATTCAATTGAAACGCGTTAAATTTCGCTGTTTACCTTTTTATTTTCCTACAGTCAATCTCCGGTGCGTGTTTGATTACCGCCATTTTCTTTACCTCCTCAGAATTTTATTTGCGTGTCTGTGTGTGTTCTGCGCGTGTGTATGTGTGTGTGTGTGTTTTCTGCAGAACAGAGGCTATGGGTGATTCCTTGGAGAAATTTGATAGTGTTCCATGGTAATTACTACTCATAATTCGTGTAATTGACTGAATTTGCTTCGGTTTGTTCAAGATGTTCTGTTGGCCTGCAATTTATGCGCGGGAAACTTTTGGGAATATACTTCTTAAAATTTGAAGAATTTTATTTTAATTTGCTTAAAGTTTTGGTAAATTGTGTACTATTATCATAATTTAACTTCAGTTCTTTCTTTTTCTTAAAAAAGATAAAATTTGAAATAGGAATTTGGTTGGAGTGTCTTAACATTTGAACCGATGGGCTTTCGTAATTTTTTTTTGGACTCTGCATTTCAACTCTTTGAGATCACATTTGGCCTTAATTCCCCATTTTTCTAATAAATATCGAATGTGGTCTGTCGAGAAATTTGAAAAATGTGTAGTACGTCCGATATTAGTTTGTAAAGTTTATATGCATGAAAGTTGCTGAAAAATCATACTTGCTAGGTAGAATGTGTGCATGGTATGTGCTTGATTGATGTTTTGTACTCCCAATAAGTAAACGCGTGGATGATTTGAAGTCTTCAAAGTGCTGTACGGTTCTCCTCAACATACGAGTTAGTTAAGCTTAATATCATATCCTTGTAATGTGATTACGATGTAGAATATTGAGTGTCTGCAGAATCTGTACGATGAGTTCAAAGGATATCTGAAAGATTGAGAAGAGTCAATTGTGAATGAGTTATACTGGATATCCTTTTCATAACATTGGCACCTTTAAGTTTTATGCGTTATTCCTGTGGCTCGTCGATTTCCTATGTCTATAATGGTTGTTAATAAATAATGATTAATCTTGTTTAACTTGAGTTGTTTGTTATCTACTACATGTTCTATTCTGTAGCCGACACCCTGAGGTGAAGTGGGATGAAAGGGAGGACAGGGTATATCTTAAGCCAGATGTCAAGAACCATAAAGTCAATGTTGACCCGAATGGCACGTTTACATTTTCGGGCAGTGGCGGGACGGACAATAATCTGTATGAGATCAAACTAGACCTTCTTGAGAAAGTTGATGTAGAGGTAACATGTTATTTTCAGTTTCGATGCATGTTTTTTCAGTATTAAAAACTATTAACTGTATCAAGTTTTGCCACTATGTTTCTAATTCTTGATTTTGGGGCAACTTTTATTTATTTTTATTTTTTTTCAGGAGAGCAATGTAAACATAGTGATTCTGTGTTTTGGAGAAAACGGGAATAAGTTATTGCGTGGCTATTACGGCAACTATAACTCGAGATTGAGTAATTTATTATCCCGATGCTTTGAAATATGACCAGGAGCAGCACATGCTGATTTAGATTTGGGTGGGATGGATTTCTCGGTATGTTTTTCTCTATTTCTTTGATTTTTAATCTTGGTTATACAGCAAACTCTTCAAACATGGTAAAATTTTACAATTTACTTGTACAGAAATTTGGTGACGTGCATTCGGAACTCGGATGGAAGAAAAATGGGGCGTTCGAGTGGCCGTTGAGGTGAAGGGGATTATTTGAGGATAGCGAAAATGAAGGTAGATTAAATTGCATTGAGGAACTTGTGTGTTTTCATGTTTTATTTGGACAATCTCAGAAATTAAATTCTTTTTAAATTGCGGCAAAAATTGATTTTGAAATTAAACTGCAAAAATAGATGAAATTCCATATAATTATATTTTGGGTAAATTACATCTACACCCCTGAGTATGATAAAATAATTTTAAGGTCCCTGTAAGTCGGTAATTACAATCACCCCTAAAACATTGTTAGAAACCCTATCCGAATAATAATGTATTGTATAAGTTAATCCTTTAGGGTTCTATCAGTCACTTGGACATGAAATCTTGGCTCGGGTAATTGTTTTAGGGGTGTGGTTGTAATTACAATTCTACAGGGACCTTAAAGTTATTTTAGCATAACTAAGGGGTGTATATGTAACTTACCCTTGCATTTTTTAAGAAAGGGGGAAGTAGTGAGGTGGCAACTAGTGATTGGTTACATCTTCTTGACTAGTCCGTGCACTCGATATATATTACACTAACTAACCGCTCCCCCAAAAACCCTAGTTTCGAACAGCAAAACCGCAGAGAAGAAGAAGAAAATGGAAAGCGCGGAAGGAATGGAGATAGAAGACGAAAAATCAACTCCGAGTCCAAGCAGCGCGAAGCGATTCGGCCTCAAAAACTCAATCCAGACGAACTTCGGCGACGATTACGTCTTTCAAATCGTTCCCAAGTAAGCGCCCACTCTCTCTTCAATTTCATTGTGCTCTTTTTTCCTTTGTTTTTGTTTTGGTTGCCTCTTCGATTTGTGGTTTTATTGAACGAAATAATTTGTGTGTTATCGAAACTCTCAGAGATGATTGGACGTCAATGGCGGTTTCGCTGTCCACGAATGCGGTGAAGCTGTACTCGCCTGTGACGGGGCAGTACATAGGAGAGTGCAAAGGTCATTCTTCAACGATCAATCAAATCTCGTTCGCAGGGCCGTCGACTCCGCATGTGTTGTACTCTTGCTCGTCCGACAGTACCCTCAGAGCTTGGGATTCCAGGTCTTTCCAACAGGTTTTTATTTATTATTATTATTTTTTTTATAAGTTGTATGTTTGTTTTCACTTACGAAATTATATGTCGTTTTCCTAAATTTGTCAGTTTGTTTTATTGAGTTTGGATGTTACACCCTGCTTCTGTCTATGAAATTTATCATATTGAAGAGTCGAAAAGAATTTTCTGTACTGAGTGTGCAACAATATGCCTTGTAATGCAGGTGTCTTGCATAAATACAGGTCCGTCGCAGGAGGTATTCAGCTTCTCGTTTGGTGGGGAAGGTCACAATCTTCTTGCAGCGGGGTGCAAGTCTAAGGTATTGTCCTTTCTCGTGTTTATTGATTATAATCATATTCACAAGAAAATAGGTGTGTTTAAATTAATTTCCTATTCTTGCTTGTTAATCTAGACTTGATTTTACGCTCTAGGGTTGTACTGATAGATGCAATATTGAAACTTGACAAGGGCTTGGCAGCGCATAGATATAGGATTCTGTGCTCAGAAGCATGGTTCATATGTTTGTGCAAATTTATGTTATGTATATTCAATCGAGTACCTAGGTTATCTATTCAGGGAGATCAGTTATATTGTTTTCCTTTCGGAGTTATTAGTTCGTACTTTGAATAATCTTTTGCTTTTACTACTTCGGTATCTGTAGATACTTTTCTGGGATTGGAGGAGAACGAAGCAGATTGCATGCTTGGAGGAAAGTCACGTGGAGGATGTAACTCAGGTAATTAGATGTCTTTGGTTTGTTGACTTAGTAGAATTTGGTAGCAAGTAAAACACTAATAACTTCCTTATTCAACCTGAAAAAGGAAAATAAAAATAAAAGAGAAAAATATGGTAAACCGAGGACTGGCTATGTAAGAACGAACTCAGCAGCCCTAGTAAGTTTAATTTGATTGTTGACCCTGTATTGTGCTAATTCCAATGCTTGGGAAGATCAGGCATGTTATGAATTAAATTTATATAATTTATTGTTCTCATATTATCATTACATGAATGAAATGAAAGGTGTAAGAAAGATGGCAAAGTATTGGTGGCATGATTTGACATATTAAACATTTTGTAATACTTCAATACATTTTTATTCACTCTAACCAGGAAATTTTTATTGACTTGGGTATTCTGTGAGGGTAGGCCTTTCAATTGGAATTCCATGTCAAGTTTTTAGGATTTTTAATTAAAATATTTGACTTACGACTGGCAATAAATGCAGGTTCATTTTGTTCCTGGTCATGAAAGCAAGCTTGTTTCTGCTTCCGTTGATGGATTAATGTGTCTCTTTGATACCAATGGAGACATAAATGATGATGATCATTTGATTTCGGTAAGTGGGATGAGTTCTCTAGTTTCTGTATCCCTGCATCTGTTCGTTTTTTTAATTCCATAATCCATGTACAAGTTTCTGAAGAGGCCTCGTTGCACAACTTTCTTTTAGTTTTGCTCATGCAACTAGCCATTTTACTTGCTCTTGTAACTGTCATTTTACTTTTCCTCTTAACAGTGTTAATAGTTGGTGCTAGGTTTAGTCATTCATTAACTATTAGATGAAATGGACACTCTCTAGCCAAGGGATTTTACTACTTGTGAATCTGCATTGCATATTTCACATTTGTACTATTAGGATAGTTATATTTAGTTGCTTTTATTTCATATGGTGTACGAGTTTCCACTTAGATTTATTTTCTTATTACTATCTGATTTGTTGGTATACTATTTACACGCACCATGATTAGGTTTTGAACGTCGGAACTTCAATTGGAAAAGTTGGATTCTTCGGTGCAACAAATCAGAAGTTGTGGTGTCTAACACATATTGAAACCCTGAGGTACGTCTCAACATAATTTTTTGCTTAGATGCATTATATGTCAAATATGATAGTGCAAACTTTCAAACTTGATGCTTTTGCTTTAAAATTTCTACTTTTTCAGCGTATGGGATTGGAGTAATGAAAGAGCTGAAGCCATCTTTGAGGATGCTCGTGGATTGGCTTCTGAGAGCTGGACGTTAGATAATGTAAGTGATTTTTTCATTTTTATTTTTTCCATGTGGTACTTATGGTTGTTTTGGTGAAAGAATGAAATACGAACGAGATAGTAAACTGCTGGTTGTAAAACGGGGGTGACAGGTGGACTATTTTGTGGATTGTCACTATTCGAGTGAGGATGATGGTCTATGGGTGATAGGAGGCACAAACGGTGGGACGATAGGGTACTTCCCTGTGAAATATGCAACAAGTAGAAAAACAGTAGGATGCCCAGAAGCTGTATTCCAAGGTGGGCATACAGGTATTGTTAGAACTGTGTTACCCATGTGCAGTAGTAGCAGCAGAATTGGTGGTGGAATATATGGGTGGACAGGTGGCGAAGACGGTCGCCTGTGTTGTTGGACCTCAGATGAATCCACCACCACGACGAAGAGTAACTCTTCATGGGTATCAACTGCATTAGTCGATAAATCCCCCAAAACCACCAGAAGATTGAGACACACTCCTTACTAAAAAAAAAAGAGAGCACCATCCCTTCCCTTTTGTTAATGTTGTATTTTAATTTTATTAAGGACTGTCCCGGGGACTTTTAATTATTGCTCAACAAATGGGCCTGCCTACAACCCATTGATTGCAGTCCTTCCGGCCTATAAATTGCAAAAAGAGAGTAGATATCAATAATTATGATTTATTATTACTTTTCTTAATCAAAAACCTTATTATGACTTAAAACTTGAAAGTTGCAAATGCTAGGAAATTTGTTATACAACTATTTCATTAGTGCACTGGTACTTATACTATAAAAATGAGGCCCCACGCATTAATAACATTTGAGGCCCAACAAACTAACTTATGCAGGGCCCATTTAAAATATAAGTTGGGCCGTTAAAAAGTAGCATTGGGCCATCTAAACGCTGCCGGGCCTATAAAAAAATAGAGTTAGAGTTCGGCCCATTAACAAATCTAATTTGGCCCGTTAAAAAGTTGTATTGGGCCCATGGAAAACGTTATTGGGTCCATGAAAAATAGTACTTGGCCCAGAAAAAATCTGAGTTGGGCCGTTAAAAAAGTTGTAATGGGCCCATGAAAAATCAGTATTGGGCCCATTAAAATAGTGTTGGGCCCATTAAGAAATAGAGTTGTACTGGGCCTACGAAAATTCGGTATCGGCCCATAAAAAAGCTGAGTTGGGCCGTTAAAAATTGTACTGGGCCCATGAAAATTTATTGTTGGGCCCATGAAAAATCACTATTGGGCCTAATTTAACGCTGAGTTGGGCTGTTAAAAAGTTTTAATGGGCCCACGAAAAATCAGTATTGGGCCGTTAAAAAGTTGTACTGGGCCCATAGAAACGCCGTTGGGCCCATTCAAATCAGTACTGAGCCCATTAAAAAGCTGAGGTTAAGAAGTTGTAAAAGTAGTTGGGCCCATGCAAAGCTCGGATATAGCTTTTTATAGGCCCAATATAAACTTTTAATGGGCCCATACTGGTTTTTTTGGCCCAGTTCAACTTTTAACGGCCCAACACAAATATGGGCCTAGCTCAGCTATTACAATTTAAATAGTAATTTGAAGTATTAATTTATTAAACCAGATATTTCCCTTAATTAATTATTAATGTGAATATGTGCATTTTAATAAAATATCGTTCAATAATAATGCCAAAATGTCTTTTCAGATAACATACAACAAATTAAAGTTCAAGATTGCAGTATACCATTACTTTGTAGTTTTTCTAGTGTAAAGGATAGTCACTTTTAAAGTGACATGTAATAGCAAACTGCAAACATCATCAAATCAAGAGAAATTAATGACGGTATTGTGCACGAGATAAAAATCCGACAGTCCAATGGCAAAATTATTGTACAAACCAGTTTCGGAGATGCTGATGTTCATAATACAAGTATTAAGGTCACTAACTGTTGGTGCAGATTATGATACCCAAAAAGTAATCAGAAAGAACAGGTCGTTAAAACCAAACAGGCAATAAATAAACGCATTAAAGAGGTAAGGAGAAAACTTGACCAAACCGCTTCATGAAGAGCAAATGCTAGTGGCCTTTTTGAAAAAAATGACAAGACCGCTTCACTGGGACTTAAGTTCATCTATTCTCTCGAGCTTTCTTCACTAGCCTCGACCTCCACCTGTCGCAATACAAGCAAGCAATTAACTTACTGGACATTTATTTATCCACGTCCCATTTAATCAAACTCTTGAGCAACTATAAACAATTATCACGATCCAACAAAGAACATTTGAACAATAATGGTATAGCATTGTTTTAACCATCAATTTATGACATGTATTTAGGAATGTTGTACTATAGCCCCATTAAGAATTTTTGTGCGCAATAAGATTTGCAAAGGAAGTCAGAGATTACTATATTAGACGTGCCTGAATAAAACATAAGTGTAACAAATAATAACATAAGACAAACCTCTACTTCCACCAGCCCTTCCACCAGAAACACCACCCCTGCCTCGACCTCCACCTCGGCCGCCTCCATCCTCCATGCCACGGCCTATGCCTTTTGCTTTGGATGAGGTATCCTCTCTACCTCTTCCTCTTCCGCGCCCTACACCAGGTGGCTTTCTATCTGAAAAAATAAAGCACATAATTTAAATCAGAATGTCTCCATTTTTTTACTGAGAAGAATTTCTTGTCAAAACTCAAATAGTCCTGCCAACTGTTGTATAGCAGAAACAAATATAATATGTCATCATATTTTATGCAAAAAATGTGGGATCAGGCAAGACATGCAAGTACCCAAAAAGAAATTTCCAACTCCTGCCTGCCCACCCCAAATCAAATATAGGCATATTTCACAATGGGGCAGCAAAAGATTATACTCAACAGAAAAAAAAAAAAAAAAAAAAAAAAAAAACGGCAACAATAAAAAGAACTCCTGCTTGGAACCAAATGTTGGCTTTCTTGCATAAAGAAAGTAAGAAGCCCCATAAAAACCCTAAAACATCTCATCAGAAAACAGAAATTTCGGAGAGTGTATTGCATAAACCAAAAACAGAACTAATCTCTAATAGACTCAACAACTTTGTAAATTCTGATGTAGCTAATTTGAGTCTTTGCTGTCCTAAACAACGCGTCATAAACAAATTTTAATCACATCCAACACAAAATATTATACCTGAACGGCTTTTTGTATCCTCTTGAACTTTGTCGATCACCTGAAAATGAGTAAATTCATCAAAAATCGTCATAAAACTCTGGAAAACTCATACTTAAGCAATATACATATATGCACATGGATGTATTAAGATTTACTAAACAAATTGCCAATACCAAACTGAGTGACAAAACATGATTCTAGAGGAGATAGTATTGCTGATTCACCTACTGTTTGCATTGGACTCAAAATGGATTCCTATGTTGTCTAGCTGTCAGGTCTATGTCAATCTATTTACTGTAATAAACCTTCTCAAACTTAAACACCGGCAGATATGGAATAGGTCTCACATTGTAAGGAGACAGCATAAAGGAAGTTACCCGAGAAACCAGGTAAACTGAAAGACTGAGTACTAGAGATGTTACCCTAAGAACTCTAAGATGATAGCCTGTTAATAAAATCTATCATGATATATAGAAAATATCGTGTGCAATTGACAAACTGAAATAGAGGATACCTCATCCGGAACTCTAAGATACTTGATTGTGTTTCCCCTAATGTAGCACTCAGGCATACGCCAAAACCTGTCTCCATCCTGCATAAGATAAAAACCATTTGAACGCATAAATTTGAGCAGTCAAAGAAAGGGAGTGGAACATTCTAAATGAACTTTATATGTTAGAGTAACTAAGAAGAAAATAAGTATAATTATAAATATAATTTAGAACAATTGAAGAAACGATTATGAATATTAAGTACCTTTGAGGTGCATATAACTTCACGAAGATGGATGTTCATCCAAGTGTCGCAGTTAACTAAGTGACCATTGTATGTCTCCCCATTTTTCAGTTCCACCAACTGTTAAACACAGACAAGATTGGCAACCAAAAGTCAGTGCACCTTGTTTCCATAACTTTACAAATTCCTAATACTGAATATAACAATAAATTCACTATGCATATATGCTGTGGGCTTCAGGGCGGTGAAACAAGGGCATAACTGAAGTTGAACATAACATACAAAATTCACAACATATAGATTCTTACAGTAGGGTAAATTACAACTAAAGAACAGTAACTGAAAGAAGAAAAGAAAATAAAACAAGAAAAAGAGGTTTAGGGCAAAAGAATTTACCATAGGGTGACCTTGCGCAGTCTTGAGTAACGAAAGTGGAAGCTGCAAACCAAAAACCAGCATATCAGTCAACCTTACACTCGCAAGTAGAGAATAGACAAAGCGAGAATTCAAAAAATCAGAACAACATAAAACCCTAGAATCTGAAGCGAAGAGAAGAGTAGAGATTTACCATCTTGTTTTCTTCTGCGGTACAACCAGGTATCCAACTGCATACAACAAGAGAGAAAAAAAACAACGAAATAAAATTAAGAGAATCATGTAGGGCAACGGAAATCGAAAAGCATAAACAGAAAAACCCTAGAAAGTTCAAAAAATACCGAGAGTGAGTTGGTGAGGCGGTGATCGAGGACCTTGAAAGAGAGGCGAACCTGTCTACAGAGAGGGCAGATGCGCGCGATTAGGTTTCCTTCTCTCTCTAGATCTCTCTCTCTCTCTCTCTTCCTTCTTTCTTCTCTGTAAGAATCAATGGAGACTGGTCCCCGCTCCTCGCTTTCTTCTCTTTTTCTAGCGAACCGACCTTTTTGTATTTCAACCCCGTCTACTTTTTATATTTATACACAACGTATAATTGTGGGGATGTATTTAAATTTAAATTATTAAAGGCTATATATAATTGGGGAAATAAATAATTTTCGTTATTCTTCAATTTAATTGTTGGATTTGATCAGACGGGTTATTATTTTAGACCTTGTTTGGATGGTCGTATAAGTTGTATAATCACTAAATAATTCAAATTTATCTATTTAATGTTTGATTAGCTTAATATTTTTTTGGCATAGTCGACAATTATAAAAACAATTGAGCTCTTATCTTAATTGGGTTATTTTTTTATTATATATTTTTTTAATTGGGCTATTTTGGTAGTGTTATAATATGCACTATTTCAATGAGCCCTAATTCGAAAAATACATGCTTTACTTTACTATATAACCCAATTAATAATAATTAATAAGAAAAGGAGAGATAAAAAATTACCTTGATATGGTGGGGCATCTACTACAGGTTTAGCTCTAAAAGGTGCACAAATGACTTGAAAGGGCAGTTCCTGCTCTCCTATTTACAGTTTAAAACTGGCTAACATTACTACAAATCCTGATTAGGACATAAAAAATGACCAAGTTAATTAAGTCATTAACCAACATTACCAATCAATAATTTATGCACACAACCAATGGGGGAACTTGGAAGTAGAGGGCTTGTCACAGCTCTTCTTCATCTGTTCTTCTTCGGACAGTTTTTAAGTCAACCAAGTGTCGCATTGTCGGTCTGCCATGCGGGCAGTTCCAAGGAGACTTGAGAATCGCCAAATGTTCTAATACCTGTAAAGTTTTCAACACCGCGTCACGTTTCTTTTAATATTTTTTGCAGCTAGAAATGGGAAATTAATTTTAATTATAAAGTGAAGACAAAATTCTTGGATTACCGACCTTGTGCATCTCATTCTTCCCAAGTGAATCACCAATCATAATGGATGACCTGCAAGCACGAGATGCTAGCATTGCACGTATTTTGGGTGGGCAGACTGAATCGGCAGTGTCTGATCGGTAACTGCCAATCATGGAGCAGTCTCCATGACTATCAGATAGAATAGAAATAAGTTCCTTTACATCTGCGTGAAAAACAACGGAGATCGTCATATGACCAACTTAAAAAAAAAACGTCACACTTGCTTCATTGCCACTGTACGTATATATTTTACCTGGAACCCCAAAAGTTATATTTTTGCTGAAGGGAACTGCTTTCAGTATAAATCGATGTCCTGAAGGAGCATACATGTCTTCCTCCAATAAAAAACCATTTTTCCTGAAATATCAAATATTTCACATTACGTATTTGTTACTGGAAAGGAACAAATTCAGTCCAACAAGAAAGATCTGTTCATGACTAAGAAACTTGAATGTCTGATGTGATCAACAAATCAATTGTAGCATGTTAGTGACAACATGGATCTTCAAAGAAAAGACTGTACAAGAAGCTTAAAGAGATTTCATAGCCACACGCACTAGTATTCGACGAGTCCCAGTGCCAATATAGTAATCCTATTTATCAGATAAAGCAGATGAAATAACCACAAAGATCAATTAATTCGTAACATCCATTTAACGTTGGTAACCGCAAAAACATATATAAAATATTAGACATGGGAAAAACATGGCCACATAAATGAATAAATGATCTATGAGCTAACGAATAAAAATCCCACACAAGAGCATGAAGGAAAAAGAACAGTTAAATATTAATAATAGAACAGAATACGTGGTGAACATTTAAAGGATAAGAACTCCTAGTTAACTCACCTGAAGGTGTCCATGTGCATGGAGATGACTATCTCTTCTTCAGGAGCTAATTCCATTTTTAGTGGCCTGAGTGGAAGACATTGTAATATAGGAAAACAAAGTCATTACACAAGTCAAATACTCAGTTCTGGTTATAGAGATTATTATATGGCAGTATTAAATAAAAGACATGTACACTGCCACAGCAGAGTAGTTAAACGAAAAACAGTAAACATGATTTATGAAGGGAAAAGGTTACACTATACTCATATGAAGTATGATATAACAGTTATGATACATGTTTAACTATGATAGCATCGTGAGATGTCTCAAACAGGGTATAACTACATGCAAAAAGAATGAATTAATGGCACTTCGTCACATTACTAGGGATATAATAAACTGAATATCTTACCGAAGTAAAGGTTGCTGGTTTAAAACAGTAGTTCTTGAAAGGCGCTCATAGTTGTATTTCTCATCTGCAGCATGCTGATGAAAAAGCATACAAGCTTGGTTATGCACAAAACGAAATAAATATACATGAACTAAATTCTAAGACGAATGTGCTTATTTTTTGAGTCACTTCTATGGAGGAGCTAGAAGATTTACCTGATCCACTATAAAAAGGTCCTGGTCTAACTTCCCGATAATGAAGCCAAGATTAAATTGTCCTATAACCTGCAGGTGAAGGTAGAAAATAGTGATGGACAAGAACACACATTTTGGTAGTCTGGTATTAAATCAAGTAAAGCTTGAGCATGTACTCAAGAAGCTGATACAACAGAATGAAATTTGACTAAATCATTAACGTTTTGCCATTTAAATTCAAATTATTTTTCATGCCCTTTTGCAATGTATGAAATTTCCTATGAAGATAACAAAGGTAGAAACCTTCATTTGTTTGAAATATCATATAAAGATAACAAAAGTAGAAACCTTCATTTGCTTGAAATCTTCCTTCTTAAACAGTCTTTCCAACTCACTGGTAGCAGCAGCTAAGGCTTTAGCCTTCCCCTCTTCGTTTACTACTTGTGAAAGCTCCAATGATGCGGCAGCGAAACCTCTGTAGATGCAACGGATTATTAAGTCAACTGAAAATGGTCAAATTATAATGTTCTAGATTATTTTGTAACTGCTACATGAGAGGGTTAACATTTTATGTACCCTTGTAACTTAAATCTTCCAGAAGCATGATTCATGCACCGGAGTCTTGACAGCCTCTGCTTGCTCCTTGACATCAAATCTTTAACACTAAACTGCAAAGTGAAACCAACCTTTGGACCCGAAGAAATCATGGGAGAGTCCGTTGCTGCACCTGAAGATTGTAATGGAATAGGTACATCTGAAGGATCATTTGGTGAAAGTTTAGAATTAGTGCTAGCTGAAGCATTCAGAGCAGAATCGTCATCTAGTACTCTCTCTTGAGCTTTATGATCCAGCACTTCAAACTTCTGCATCACAAGATGAACTAAATGTCAAAAGACATAAGAACTTATGAAGATAATAAATTCATCTTTTTGTAAAACTACATACAACTTGACAAGAAAACTTTCTCATTCATGGAGACAATTATCAGAGAGGAACTAAAGTCTCAGATTATATACCTCTGTAACTTCATTTTGCCTGTCATCTACACAAGGAAAAAGAACAGTTGCATCTGCGTCATCTGTGGCTCTACTGTACTTTCTCTGTCCACAAGGAAACAAAAAACCCATATCTGCTTCCCCACAGATGCTGTCGATATTTGATAATATGCCTGGCTGAGGCTCACAAATGTTGACTTTACTGGAACTATCGACCTTGACACAATTGTCAGGCGATATTGGAGATGCAGTACGCTTTGGGGAGCTGTTCTCTCTTAATCTACCCATAGGAGGTCCACTTCTGAGCAGTGGAACTTCAGATAATGCAGTTTCAAGACTATCATGTTTTCTCTTATTCACAGTAACAAATTTGTCAAGTGACATCTGTGTAATACTCGAATGACCAATTGAATTAACGATATTATCGCTGCCTTTCTTAGTTGAATTTAACTGCAAAGAAGAATGTTTGTCAGTTTTGCCAGAAACAAAATCCCTAATTTTCTTAAGAGGGCTTATGGAAGAGCTGCCCTTCTGATTGCCATGAACTCCAAGGGCAAACCCTTCTATAGCTGAAGAAGCACCACCACCACTGTGTATCATCTCCTCATCGGACAAATCTTGATCAGCTGAGAGATTAATACCATCATTCCCAGATAGTTTATCATCTTTTTCTTCATGCACTACACCAATGTCTGTAAATAAGCCCTTAGAAGGCAATTGAGATCTCTCATGAAGGGAATTCATATCGGGGGCAAGCTTGTCCTCATGGAGTTCATCTATTTTGTTAACTGAATAACTTGCCTGGCTAGATGAATAAATCTTCTCTAAAGCTTCTCTCAAGGACTGTAAGATGTAGTTTTCATCGAAAAAAAATAGTTTTCTTTTGTCAGGAGTAACATTCACATCATACGTTCTAGTTGGCACAGAGAAATTCATAATGGCGATAGGATATTGTCTGGAATTTGCACCTCTATATAACTCGTTCACAAGCTTCCCAACTTTCGGCATGTCAACTGGACGGCCATTAACAAAGAAGAATTGTCGATCCCCTATATTGCGCCCGCTTCCATTTCCAGGCTTGGAAACAAAGCCTTCAACCAAGTAATCATCTGATATGCTGAGTCTGACGGGATCTAAGCAGGAAAAAGTACTCATACCGAAGACCATAATAATATTCTCTTTGAGGGATTCACTACCCTGCGTCTTGAGCACTACAGATCTAACATTTTTTCCAGTTGTATTAGAGCAAACCAGTCTAACTCCTTTAGCAATAAGAGCATAGGCCTGAAAAACAAAACTCATAGATGAGAAATGATGTATGAGAATCCTGTCACTTCCTTTCATATCAAAGACACATATAAACACATATAAACACACCCTGACTAACACAAAGGAATAATCATGATGAAATCTAGTAATTCCAAACTCATACTCAGGTAAATCTACTTGAAATAATACTCTTCACTAGATGTACAGCCTTAGAAGCACGGGCCATCTGAAATACTCCTCTAGGACCTATATGAGAAATCCCAAAGAATTAAACAGTTGAAATAGTAAAACAGAAAGACTCACATTCAACAAGCTGATTAGTTTGCCATATTCCTTGCGGATATTTCGGCGAAATTCTTTGCTCCTCACAGGTAAATTGGAGAACAACTTCTTGACAGTAATTGTGGTGCCAACTTGACGTGCAGTCTTCCTCTCAGCTGTCAGAAGACCCATGTGATCATATGTGAGGTGTGTCGCAACAACCTCATTCACCGTGCGAGTCTCCACAGTCAAATCCCCCAATGCACACAGTGAACTCAATGCCTCCCCTCGAAATCCGTAAGTTTTCAAGGACTGAAGGTCTGGAAAATCCAGTAGCTTGGATGTGTGGTGCTTCAGTGCCAGAACCTACCAATAGCAATTTCAAATAAGAGAAACGGAAACAAATTACATTTCAAGAGACAAAAAGAGAACAAGCTCTCTTTGGAATTCAATGTGAAAATACTAGTCTAACGGAAGACACTTCAACTGCTCGTTTTAAAGGAAACTGTAAGCAATTCTTTTCTTTTTTTTACCAACATTAACTACCTCGATGGTTCTAAATATATGCCCTAATCAATCAGAAAATACTGGAAGATAAATCCAACAAAACCAGTTTTTGAATGGGTTGTTACATAGACGAAATCGATTGAAAAATTCCAGCGAAGGTAATTCAGAAAAACTTACTTTGAAATTATGCGGGGAAATGCCGGAGCCATTGTCAATGACTTGAAAGGATTCCTGGCCGTAATCCTTCAACGATATCTCGACGCTGGTGGCGCCGGCGTCGAGGCTGTTCTCGACGAGCTCCTTCACCGCGGACGAGAGGTCCAATATAACTTGCCCAGCGCAGATTTTGTGGACGGCGCTCTTGTTTATCGGCCTGATAATCGGGGACTTCTCAGCGCCACCTTCCATGGATGATGTCAGGGTGTGACTTTTCTGGAGAGAGAAAACCCTAATCGGAAGACTATGGAACTTCGCAGCTTTTGCCGCCAAAACTGTAATTGGGGGGAGAGAATCTCTGTAGTTGCACACGAGAGACGGTGCGTTCACTAACGATGACAAAAGCTAAAATCGAAACGGCGTCGTACCAGGACTAGTTCATAGAGGTTTTATTGTAATTATGACGTCAAATTTATCTTTTATTTCCCATCTGGTGATGAATTGACATCAGTTAATATGCCACATTTTTATAACTCGTGAAAATATTAAATCTATGTCACTGCAAACGGCACCGTCTATCATATTAGAAAATCTTATTTCGAAATCCCATTTTACAGAAGCTCACATACATTATATATATATATATATATATATATATATATATATATATATAAACCAAATTTCTCAAAAACAAAAGTATACATTGTATTGAGTTACATTCCAGTTGCGAAGCTTTCAGCACACAAATTATTTTATCCAAAGAATAAAATTTCAAAATAAATATTTTAAAATATAAATGGATCTAATACAGCAAAACTCGCGGTAATCTACTATCCAAGTAATGAAAGGTATAACAATATCAATCGTAATGTAGTTTATAACGAAACCAATACCACCCAAAGGCGATCGATCATTCCTTTCTGATGGATATAGTCCAAAGGAGGTCGGAATCAGATTGCACCGTCACTATTTCACCTTTAACAATATTTGATGTACTTACAAGACCGCCAAATCGCATCTCCGTATCAGCTGTCACACAAAGCAATAGAGATGGATCAGGCTCAAACTTTAGCGAACAGCACAAAATACTGAATAGTGATTTTTATCAAGATATGTGACGGTGTAATTGCAATTATAGATACTCACAAAGATTCCACTCAAGGCCGGTGGTTTTATTACGTGTTGAAGGTCCACCAATAGGGATGAGACCGCAGTGGGGCCCCTCGACGTTGTGCTGGATATGGATTTCGTGATGATGACTACTGGGAAGAAGTTGAATGAGGCAATCATCCGATAGAAGAATTATCCGCATGCTCGAGAATCGGCAGAGGACGTTGATATTTCCAATCTCGTGGTCAAACCTCCCACCGAGTGCTCCGGCAACAAGAACACAAACCTGTAAAGAACCACACGGTTAATCTAAATTATAATTCGATAAAGTTTGACTTGATAAAGCAACAGGCTGACTGAATGGCCACAAACACAAGGAATCTTAAACCACGGACAGACAGATACAGAGCTACAATTGATACATGCGCAGAAATAATAAGGTAATAAAAAAGAATTATACATACATTTTGATTCTTCAGATTCGGTAAATCTTGAATATATGCAATGCATTTATGTAGATCTGTGGTGTCCTGATCATCCGAAGCATCAATTACCTCGGTTCCCTGCATATATGCAGATGACAGTTCTCATTAAATGCAAAGCATCACACACGCACACACTCTTATTTGGAACTATATAATTAAATTCGAAGTGAAAAAATCACCGGGTTAGTCAATTGCATTGCCTCAATGCGCATAGATGGTATACTGACCAAATATTAAGAATAAACTAGTATCCTTCAAGTTCAGCAGTCGTATCAAATCTTTAAATAAATTCCTGGCCTTACCAGTTAAGCTACGATATTATTGAACTCTTATATATAAAAAGAATCTAAATCATTAGATTATGAATAGAAGGAAGTAGACCAAGCTACAAGTCTACAATCTGCAAATGTTGTCACAAAATCGAAGAAAGCAATAGGACACACCAAAATAAACTTGCATGTGGCTTTAAAGTGAGGCGGCCTCTGCAGATCAAAAGTAAGATAAAAATGATTTAGGGATATTACGATAAACTTACCACATCTTTGTAGAATCCCAAAACTTCTTCTCTAATTGAATCCAAGTCGCCTTTTATTAAATTTGGCTTGTACCTGGATAATAATAATACACATTCAGCATAACTAGTTTTTTTTTTAATCAAAAACCCCCACGATCGCATAATATTTACTTACTTTTTCTATTCAATGTAAGACTTGGGAAACCAACAAAACAATTATTCAACGGATCATACACATAAACAGTAAATCCCGGAAATTGAGACACAGACAACGTGCCAAGCTTTTTTAAAGTTAATCGAGAAGAATCCACTTATGTCTTGCAGTGAGAGAACTGAATTACATTTAATTCATCTATGAGCAACTTAATTAAAACCAACGTTCGCATAAAATACATTGGCATCACAAAAAGACATAATTTTATCAACATTGTAAAATTAAACAGAAGAGACAAAACAACTAGATCTCAAAACCCTCATAAACCCCTGCCATTATTGAATGTTTAATCTTCGTCGGCACGCCAGATTGTGACAGTAATTTAACTAAAATCCATCTTAAACAAATCATACAACACGAATCAGTCCAAACAACTACTTTAAATTTCAATAAGATCCAAATAATCTAAAACGAGACAGTCAAATTAGACGACGTTTAATCGAACCTTTTACGAATAGCTATGGCGTCTTGGTCGGGGAATAACAGCGGCAATTCATCATACAGTCGGTTGGCACCACCGTCTGCGCAGATGCGAAGTTGTGCTGCTCTACAAAACAAACGGAAAAAAAAAATTAAATAAAAAAAAATATCACCACGCGACAAAGTAAATCCAGAAAACAACTCGGTGCATGACAGATCACCGTGCTTCCATAGGAGCGGAGTGAAGCGCGGGAGGTTTCGGTTGAGTACGACAAGCACGTATGTCGGCGCGGGGCCATTGTCGGCGGAAGGATTGGGGAGAAGGAAGGTTGACGAATGAGTCATCAGCTCCATTGCTAACGTGCGCACTCCCAATCGGCGGAGCTTCTTTGATAAGTTGCGTAAGACTTCTGATATTTTCAACTTTTTCTCACTTTTTCAGGGAATGGGGAATATCGGGTAATGGACGAATAAATTGGGAGTCAAAATTAAAATAGGAAAAAAAAACACGGTTTGTTGAAATTGAGAGCTTAGGATGCTTCCCTTATTTAAGTAATATAATATCTATGAAGCTTGGTTTCAGCAAATTCAAACCTCAAACTCTCATTACTAAATAGGGTAAATTATGGTCACCTATAAAGTCAATTTACAAAAAAAAAAAAAAAAATAGATAATTACAACCACGTTTCTACTGTGAATCTTCCTATGTGAATCTTCTTATGCGCATACTCTTCCATTGTTAAATTCAACAAAATCCACTAAACTCATAGATAATTACAACCACGTCTCTACTGTAAATTTTCTTATGTGAATCTTCTTATGCGCATACTCTTCCAGTGTTAAATTCAACAAAATCCACTAAACTCTATAGAACGTGAAGCTTCTTATGCGCATCTGTGTCAAATTCAACAAAATCCTATAGATTTATATAGAATGTTCTCTAATTTATACTCGTTTTGTGCAAAAATGCAGTTTCAGATGCACCACAGTCTCATATTCGAAGAGACGTGTCTCACGATTATCTCGTTTTAAAATGTTAAGATGGAATAAAATAAAATGGGTACAAACTAGAAAATATTCCACATTATCTAGAAAACTCAACTAAACTTGACACCACGAAGGTAGACTTGTAAAAAAATCCATAGTGGAGTGATTGTTATTACCCAACAAAATAGGTTTTTCGTAATTTGACACCTCGTGATTGACTGAAATTTATCCTAAAAAATATATACAAAAATAAATTCAATATACTTCAATATAAAAGCATGATAAACTTCAATATAAAAAGAACATATATAAAACCCCACATGTAACAACCACTGCCTACAAAGAAAAAATGTAAATATTAATCTTTGAATTAAATAGATCACATTATTCCAAAACGCCAAAAAAAAAAAGAGACAGAAATGAAAAATATCTAAATCTATGAGTTGATTAGTGAATTAATCTTGAATATACAAAATGCATGCGAGAGCCCTTAAAGAAGTAAAACAATTAGAATACAAATTTATTTTTTATATATTTGTGGTGACAAAATAATAGAGCCATAAAACTATATATATGATACACAAATGCATGCATGCCTTCATAAAAAAAGGGTAGAGGAACCTGAAACTGGATTTCCAGGTTCACAGGTTCCAAAATCGAACCGCCTAAACATCGAACACTATACACAGCTCTCTGTAAATAATATCCTCCTCGTCTCTACATGAAGTAGCTTAATGATTTCTTCTTTCTTGACCCCCCTTCTCCGTAAAGTTCGTTCCACTGTTGAAGCTCGTTCATGTTTTGTGATTCTGATGATACACTTGCACATACCTGCATTTTTTTACGCGATACGCATTTTCAAAAGTTGTTAAAAAAAAATTCATAAAATAAAATATAAATTAAACTTCAAATAGTGAAATACCTGTTCGTGTGCAAATTTGAAGTCATCCATAGTCAAAGGACGAACATCTACGCTGCTATGCAGTGCAGGCAACGGTCTGTTTTCCGCCACTGCCAAGGCTTTATCCTATAATTTACATGCAAGTTCGATTAGATTAGTTTCAAAATGAAAACAATAACGGCACATTTATATATATATATATATATATATTTGAACTGTACACACCTTCTTCTCCTTCTCCAAAATTTCCCGTATAGGACAATGGGCAGCCGACACACACAGATTCTGGAAACAGACGAGTCCCAAATTAAAATTAGAAAGAAAAAAAAAAGACGAGCAAAATAATTTTAACAACATAAATGTGATGTATGCACAAACCTTTAGATCACTTCCGGAATACCCATCAGTCATACTGGCAACGGCTGCAAGATCGAGGCCGGGAGCCAATTCTTCCTTGGCTAATATCACTTTCAATATTTTCTCCCTATTCAGAGCATCTGGCAAGTTCACCATCAACCTACCAAGTTTGCATACATATAAAGTGTCGGGGTTAGAGTTGACTTTTTTAAAGTCAAATAAAACAAACACTTGTTTCTTTTTGGTACAATATAAAAATCTATTAGGGGGTTTGAGCAATGCAAATAAATACCTCCTGGGAAGCCTCCTGATTACAGCCTCGTCAAGATCAAAAGGTCTATTTGTGGCTGCAAGTACAAGAACACGTTCTTTATCCTTTGTACGCAAACCATCCCAGTTCACCATAAATTCATTCTTCATTTTTCGCATTGCTTCATGTTCTCCCGGGTTTTCCCGCCTCCCTAACATACTGTCAACCTACTCCCAAAAAAAAAAAAAAATTTAACACGATAAAAGTGTCGAGAAGAAAAAAAAAAGCGGGAAATTTCGGAAGATTAAACCAACCTCATCGACAAAAACAACACTCGGGGATATTTTGCTAGCCAAAGAGAATACTGCTTTCACGTATTTCTCTCCTTCACCAAACCACTGTGTGCAAAAAGGAATTAATGAGTTGCTTTACACATTTAATTTATGTTAATACCAAATTAAAGGTCAAAAAAGAAATGTACTTTAGAGGTGATGCTCGACATAGATATGTTAATAAAGTTTGCGCCAGCTTCGGTTGCAACAGCTTTTGCGAGCATAGTTTTACCAGTACCAGGAGGACCAAACAGCAATATTCCCTTACAAGGCTGCCGGAAAAAAAAAATTTAAAGTTAATTAACAAACAAGACAAACTCTTCGTAATAAATCAAGATTAATTAAAATTTAAAAAAGGAATTTACCTTTGTCAGCTGCCCTTTGCTGAACAATTCTGGCCTTTGCAGAGGTAGCATCACCAATTCCTTTAAGGTTTCCTTCACGTTTTCAAGTGCGCCGATGTCATCAAAAGTAACTCCGATATCGCCAGGTGGAATAACCTCCCCGAGGAGCTTTTTCTCAAATTCATTTTCAGTTGCCACATCCTATAAACAAGTATTTTGACTTTAGGAATAACTTAACTTAGCCGTAATCTATGAACAACTTAATTTAGGGTTAGCAAAGCTTTCACCTTTAGAGATTTCTTCGAACTCTTGTTTTCATTTTGAATGCCATGTAGGATGTTGACTCCATAGACGATACTGCAATTAAAATACAGAAAAAAATTAAAAAAAAAAAAAGAACCAATACGAGCCAATAATTTCGAGTCCTTCCTTAAACAAAGACTCACCTTTCACTTGAAATGACAATTTTTGAGTCCTTGAGTGGAGCTTCAGAACAATTCATAAAGTGATGGCTTAAAGCCCAGCCGATAATTTTTTCAACATCTGTCACCAATAGAAAAGAAAAGCATTAGGGAAAATCAAACCGAGCCAACCTAAATTTGAGGATTTTTTTTAAGATGTAAGAAATTGACTGACTGTCATTATTCAAAGCTTGGTCTTTAATGCTTAAAGTTTCCAGATCAGGACATTCGAGCCCGAACCGATTTAGAACCTGAAGGTATAAAAATAAATCAAACAATTAGTTTGAAGTTTATATTAAAATAAAATAACAAAAAAAAATAAGAATAAAAAAATAAAACAGGGAGCAAATGTGACGTACGGAGCGAATGCTACCAAAGTTGGACTGAGATTTCATTGTTTCAATATCACGATCCAACTGTTGCTTCCAGTCCACTAGTACTGTTTCCTCCTGTAATGTTAAGCATGAATCAGAGCTTGCTTCTAAACTTAAAATGGTTACAAAACCAGAATCCAAATTACCTGGGGAATCTGAATGGTCACTTTGTTTGGGAAAAGGCGGTTAAACAGCTTCGTTATTTTCGTTGCTTCTTTACTTTTATCATGTAATCTACCAAAATTATCCTAAACAAAAAAAAAAAAAAAAAAAAAAAAAGAACATTTCTCCATTAGGTTTACAAAATGAGCCAATAAGAGTAAATAAAATAAAACAAGTGTAAATACAATAACCGGGCATACCGGGAAGGCAAGGTCAAGCAATGCCGTTTGGTTGCTTCCGAATTTTGTGAAAAGCAATCCACCAGGATGAGACTGTACGTATTCAGCACATAAATTAGAAGGGTACCTTTGGGGGGGGGGGGGGGTGGTGGTGAGTATAAACAACATAACTGAAACTTACTTTCTCCTTCCGGCTATCTGTCTGAGTATGTGACGCTATCACAACAATGTTTTCCGATAAACTGTCAAGCTTAACTTTCAAAGACGTATATGCCTCAGTATTTCCGGACAAGGATTTCTCGATGTCTTTCAAGAACAAGATCAATGGGCCAACTTTACTTTCTGCCGAAACAACCTACAAATTTCAAAGATATTTTGTAAGTATCTGCGGACAATGTCATAAAATGCAACTAAAGAGAAACCATTTTGTTTTAAGGAATCGAGTATACCTCAAAGAGTTCATTTACGGCAAGCTTGTCAATTTCGTCAGCACCAGAGCTCTCGAGCCGGAGTGTGTCAGCTGCATAGATTAACATTTAGATCATCATTAAAAAAAATCACAAAAACGGGCAATGGTGAACTGAGGATATGCAAATTACCTGCACAAAAGAAACCATGATCTTCTTCACAGAGGCCTCCCAAATCATTACCTTCGGTAATTGTTCTATCAAATCGAACCCCGATTTTAGAAGAGCCATTTTCCTCAAAAGCAAGTACCACCTTACCTCGGTAACCATAGGCTGGTCCCCTGCACAGGGTAAAAGGGTAAATTTATAACAACATAAAAAATATAAAATCACTTTACCTCAGCTAGATAACATTAAAGAATGGATTACCTCATTGCGGGAGTTTGAGCAGGAGAAAACCCTGGCATACAACCGACAAACTTCACTCTATCGCCTGGCAAACAACAAGAAATCACTTTAGAATATTTTCCTAAATATAAAACAAAAGGGTTAAGAAAAAGTTCCGAATAAAAATTGTACCTTTCTTGAAAGTATAGTTTTTCGATGTAGCTGTAGATATTTCCTGCTTAGGCATAGTAGGGTGAGAGCTTACGGTAGAATTCCCAGTAATATCAGCATCTACACTCGAGGTTGGTTTTTTAAGGTGTAGCGCAGCAGTGGTCCGCTTTGAAAATACACTTGCTCTCTCAGGCTTTGAACTTTCTTTTACCGAATCAGCTTCTTTTGTTGTTGGTCCCTGGAAAAATCATAAATCAATATAATCTAAAAAAAATATTACTTTATAAGAGATACGAGCATTTGAAATCAGCTAACGATATAATCTTACACCAGGTAATGCAATACTATCAACAATCAGAAGCCCGGCACCAAAATATTTAGCAAGTGCCTTTGCCAATGTTTCCTGGTATATTTCAGAACCTACGAATGAAGGAACAAATTCAGAGGATCAAGATCATAAAGGACAGAATGTGTGCACGAATAAAATGAAAACATGGAGCTACATTACCTGCAGGACCTGACAGCAAGATTCTCGGGCACAATGTTGGGAGTTCCGACGCAAACTTTGTAAATTTATTACATTTCAAATGTATGTATGCCGAAGCAATGAGAACCTTCTTGGTGGTTTCACTGTCAGAAGTATTACAGCCGAGTTAAAATGGTATGCTAAATAGAAAGAGCAAATGGGGTCAAATGATAAAACGAAAAAAAAAAAAATACATAATCATATCGTTACATAAATTCTTTCTAGATTCATTTCCCCTGTATCTGTGGTAAGCTTTGATATAATAAAATAAATACAGTATGTATTACCTGAGATAATACTGAAAATCATCAAATGAAACCTCGATATCTTTGCAATGCAACAATCCTTGTTGTAAAGCATCTTTGTAAGCTTGACGTCTTGATGCTAACGAAACGGGAGGATCGGAATGCTTGCGCTGATTTCTGTTCGGCCTATGCTCGTCCAGAATTCTAGATATACTACTACTCACACCAAACGCAGGGGTCGACGAACTAGCTAGCATCTGCGAAAATGGCCTCAACTCGGGTGCAAGATTTATTTTATCACTCTCACCATCAACATTCATTTTATCGCCGATGACAACATTCTCCACAGGTGACGCAGTAGCACCGTCGTTATGGTCAGAAGCGTCCTTCATGTCAGTGTCTGAAACCGCACAAGCCGAGGGTAAAGATGGTATTTCAGAACCATTCTGAGATGGAGGTAATTCTTCGGCGTGATGGTCTGATAACGTAGCCAGAGCTGATGCGACGGAAATAGCAGAAGGGTCGCCCGGTCTTGCCTCTATGTGTAATCCTTCAATGGTTCCATCGTTCGTTTCTAATATGCACAGAGGAGACGGCACATCGATTGGAGATGAGTTTATATCAGTCAGGAGTTGGAAAATCTAACAGTATGTCAAGGAATATACCTTTTAACTCTAACAAGAAGATATAAAAAAAAAAAAAAAATTGTAGTTGGTATAAAGGATACATAAGCATGTTTACCAGACGAAGAGCAAAAGGCCAACTCATCGCCCTCTTTTAAAGGAGTAGTCGAATCTTTCGAGCAAGGCTTACCATTCACTTCTACAGATCCTTTATTCCCAGTGATTTCAAGCTCCGTACACGATTCTCCTCCCTATGATCACAGGTAGAGTCAGTAAACATCTGAATTTCAACAAAATTGAACACAAGCAAAACAGGGTCACAATTTACCTCTGATTCCTTGCGCTTTAGATTACACAAGGAATTACTAACTGTTGGGCTCAGCGACAAATCGCATTGGCGGCCTTGACCAACAGTGAAAATTGGACGATGTATGACAACATGTGGAATCTGGGAGGAACAAATTAAAAAAACAAAGTCACGATTATGAACTGCGATTCAATAGTGAAAGCAGGGGTTATGGTAATTTAACAAACGGGCATGAGATAATGTAGTATCTATGGAAACATGCATATTTAGGGCAAAATATTGTATAGGATAGAAACAACTCATTCCACTCCTAACGACTAAATTGGACTTCAATCAGGGATTACGAAAGCTCACTACACAATGTCATAATTTTTATATAGCTGCTGCATCTAAACCTCTGCTTACTATGAAAACGAAAATACAATAGGAAAAATGCAAGAACTCAAAGCTTTGATTTTTTGACAAGAGTCATGTCCGAAAATATGGTATAATGTAAGCTCTTTGACGAGGTTAATTTCTTTAAAAGATCTTAAGTAGCCAAAATACGCCCAAATAGCTTCTTAGAATGTTTCAAAATTGTTTCGATTCCATCTCCTTCGTCCCACTTCCAAAAGTACAATCTGTTAAACAATCAACTAATGCAAGACTCGAGTATGAGCGGAAGGGTTCTTATGTCTCGATAAGACAATTGGATAGGGATTGCATCTAAAACACAATTGATTGCCGAATTTCAAGAACCAATTTCAATGACAAAGTAAAGAATTATATTCATCCAATCTTGAAAAAAAAAAAGATCTTTTCTTGTTCATGAACTTTAAAAGATTTGAGCAAATGAGTAAGCAATCCTACCTTTGGACACTGGGAAATAAGTTTACCCCATGCAGCATCGCCATTAGATTTCAGTTGCCCCTTTCCTCCATTGTCGGATGGCCCACCGGACTTCCCTTCATCCTCCTCATTAACAACAGAATCATCTGCAAAAACAAAATTAAATTTTTAGAAGATATCGCCCAACAAAAAGAAATCAGATAATACCGAAATTCAATCAAGTCAAAGAACATTCAGCCGCCGCACAAGATCACCGTGGGAGAAACGAAGACCTCACCTGCTTCCACCGCCTCCGTTACTTTCTCTGCCGCCGCATCAGCCGACTGATTATCGCCGCCGCCGCCGTTCGCCGGATCAACCGATCCAGTCTCCAACTCTTTCGCCGCCGACGCGACAGCGACTTCCTCTGAAGACGGCGAATCGTTCGTCGAAGAAGACGACGCCTGCATGCACGAAAAGAAAAAAAGAGGATTCGGAACTCGGAAAAACCAAAAATCGAGAAAATAGCGAATCACTAAACCATAAGAAAACCCTAACCTTGGATCGTTTTCCTCTGGGCTGAGAAGACGACGGCGAAGAGAGGGTACGCTTGGAGGAAGAAGAGCTCCGCCGCGTTTCAACCATTCTTTTTTTTTTTTCTCTGATCTACTAATCTAGAGAAAAGAATCCCAAGATTTGATTTTTCAGACTGAAAAATCAAGAATTCTATTCGAATAGCGAATGTGTTGTCTGTCTGAATTATTTTTTAATTTATAATTACAACACAGCTATATAGTGAGAGAGAGGGGAGAGAAGACGGAGAGAGAAAAAAGAAGATTGAGGGAATGGAAGAAATCAAGAAAAAGGTGAATGATTGTGTGAGATCGGCTTATATATAGGTAAAAAAAATGTGACTATTTTATTTATTTATATAATAAATCTTATATATATATATATATATATATATATATATATATATATATATATATATTTCTTTTTTTTAATTGTTAATTAATTTTGGAATGAAATTTCGAAGTAATTTAATATTTCATCTCATTTTAATTTTGTAGGACAATATTGAAAGAGTCTTGTCATAAAGAATGAAAGGTTAGTGGCATTTTTAGTTATTATGTTGAAAATTTATAAAATATTGTCCTTCGAGATTTAAAAATATTATCATTTTTATATTTACGATTTAAAATTGTATTGGGTATCTCATCAGGTGTAGGTGAAAACTAAAATATTTTCATTACAGTTGAAAGCAAAACTTACACATTTCACGCATTTTTTTATTTTTATTTTTGTGTTATGAAATATGTTTTAATGCTAACATTTAATTACCAATTTGGAATAAGAAAAAACAATTAAACTCTATTTTTTTAGGTAAATTACAACCAACCCTGATGTAAGGTGGATTTACGAAAAAAAACCCTTATGTTTCCATAATTACATCCACCCTTTGTAGTTTGTAGAGTTCTTGCATTGACACCATTTTGTAAGGAATTGGATGTAAGATAGTTACAAACTACAGGGGGTTGGATGTAATTTCTCAAAAATGAGAGTTTTTCTGTAATTACACTTTACTTTAGGGAGTTGGTTGCAGGTGTGTGGTGAATTAGAGTGTGGGTTTGGGGGGTGTTTGGTTGTTTACCAAATTGAGTAAATTTTGGGGAAGATTTTACTATTATTAAAATATTTTCCAACGGTTATAAATACGAGTTTGTTTTTTGTTGAAGTATTTGAAATAGCCAGTAGGATAGGAGAAACTATTTATGTATTTGGTTATATAACATTATAATAAAATAAAATAAATGAATAAAAAGTCTCCAATTATTGAATTAGGTAACACATAAATGGCAAAATTAATTTAGGTATCACATTATTAACGTTGCCTGCCCCAAACTTGCATTGTCTCAAAATTTTGCAACACTTCAGGGAAAATAAATAAATAATAATAATTAAAATTTTAAAAACAAATCCAAGTCTACTTGAATAATGTCCCAACTAGTAATTGTCCCCGTGCGATGCACGGGGCAACAAATTACATTGTTTTGATGTTGTAAGAATATAAACAAACGTTTGATGTATCGTATGATCAAAATATTGCTATAATCATTCATTAATAATTCACCAGTGGAACATTACTAAGTATACTACACGCAAAAAAAAAAAAAAAAAAAAACAAACGAACAAATAACTTTACTGTTGAATAATTTTCCAAATAAATTGAATCAACTAATACCATTAGATTGAAAAATTGAACCAAAAACAAAATCATCAACTATGTCTTTCATGTTGAGTTTAAAAGTAATTAGATTTAATAACTTACTTAACCTAATCAAAACTAAACTATCGACAACATACCAACGTAAAAGGCCATCTGTACATCTTGCTCGTAATAAAGCCCTTCTTCACTGCCTCGTTTTGGTCCTGTTTTGTCACTGGAATTAACAATTATATTGGAAAATTAAGAAACAAAAATAAATATAAACAATAAATTAAATATCCATACAAACAATATGTCTTGAAGGCCGATTTCCAATAGCTTGTGGCTCCGCCCATTTTTGCTTAGTTCTCTCCAATCATCCAGTTCTATAACATGTCCAATAACATCTAAAAGGAAATAATTGTTATACACAAAATTTGAAATCTTTGGTATAAATTAATGAAACACATAATTTAACAAAATGAAATTACCTATAAGCCATGATGTAAAAAAATGCAAACTAATTACCACACAGTCAATAGGATGAAGAAGAAAATAAGACAAAAATTCTAAAGTCGGGTTACTAAAAGAAGAAGCCTCTTAGGTAGGATGAAGAAATAAAATTCGAATGTTGTAGAGTGGATATAAATAAGAAGAGCAAACACAAACGTGCTGAAGTGGAAGAGAGAAGTTGAAAGTGTTAAGAGTCTTAAGGGAGATATTTTCGATTTTAAATCGAAAATAATAAAAACAAAAATTACAAATATCACATTAGGATTTCTCAGGGTTGCCCTAGCGTTTCTTTCTTTTATATATAAGATATGAAAAAGGCCCAAACCAATTTATAGACCTGATGTCATAAATATTTGAATTTAATTGTAATTTGAAAAGAAAAAAAAATCCCAATTTTTTTTTACGAGATTTAACGAGCTCGTTCGATCGTAGTTATTTAATAAAATATTTAATATTAATAATATAATAATTTCATTTTTCCAAGATTATTAGAGGCCGTTCATTAAAGATAAAAAAATGAGAGGGATTGAAGAGACAAAAAATTAGCAACTTAAACATCATCATCAACACATAAACCAAACAAATTAGTTCAAATTAATTTCCAGTAATGTGACTGGACCAGTGCCACCTGTTAATTTTAATGTCAAATACCAGCCTTCGATATTTTCAAAGGGAGAGACAAATTTGGCTACCATTTATCTATTAATTATTATTTACTATTCGTTGCGCGATAAATAAACATTTTTTATTCTCAAATACCGACTTTTATAAAATAATAAAAATTATTCTCGAATTAAATTAAATCAAAATCAAATCAAAATTATTTCATACCTATTTTACTAATTAATTTGTTATTATACAATAGTAAGTTAACTTATTTTAATTTCTATATTATGAGCCTTAGATTCATTGCAGATCTACAATATCTATTTTATATTAGGATAAATCACGATCACCTCAGATGTAATGTTAAATTACGAAAAATCCTTTATGTTTGAATAATTACATGCTTACAACACTCTCAATTACAAATCTTCTTATACGTTCGCCCTTATGATATCAAATTTAGTATAATCTTATAGCTGTTTGTAAATATCAGACTGTGGTGCATCAGAAACTGCATTTTTGCACAAAAAGAGTACAAACTAGAGAACATTTCACATATGAGATAACCTAGAGACTGTGGTGCATCAGAAACTGTATTTTTGCACAAAATGAGTACAAACTAGAGAACATTTCACATATGAGATAACCTAGATGATTATTTGAATTTGACACCATATATGTGAACATGTAATAAGATTCATAGTTGAGGGTGCTAGTTGTAATTACCAAAACATGCGAGATTTTTTCGTAATTTAAGTTTACCTGAGGGAGTCTCCGTAATTTACCCTTTATATTATGATAAAATTAATATAGAAAGAAAATAAAAACAAATAAATAAAAAAAAAACAAATAGCAAAAATCCAACGGAAAACCTCAGAAAACGCAGCACACACACTACGGCTGCAGAATCAGAAAGCCCAACACACCAAAAAACCTTATCACAATTCACCTCTCCCCTCCCCTATATCTTCTCTTCTTCTTCATTCTGTTTCTTATCCATAAACCCTCGTCGAAACCCTTTTTTCTCCTAATTCTTTATTCTATTCGTTTTTCAATTCTGAACTTCCATGGATTCTAAGGAAGCGACGACCCAGCCAATCTCCGAAGTCTCCTCAGGTACTACTTCTTCCCAATTTATTATTTCTTCTTTATATTATGCTAATTCTCCGGATGAAACTTTATTGAACAATAAAATTGCTTCGGCAGGTGATAGTAGAAGTGATAGTAAGGGTACCGTACCCGAGGATGAGGGTTATGTGAGCGGTAATGAGGAGTTCGAACCGGCTTCGGATAAATTGGTTGTGGATGAGATTGTGGAGGAGGAGAATTCTGATGAATTGGAAAAGATTGAATCTTTGCTGATTTCCGGGGTTGTTGTGAATGATGACGATGATGTCGAAAAAGGGGATAAGGATATTGAGGGGGGTGGGGTTTTGGAGGGGGATAAGGTTGGTGGGGTTGAGGGTTTTGATAGGAATGGTGAGGTTCTTGATTCGGTGGAGAAATTGGGCGTGAATTCCAATGATGGAGTGGATGGGGAAGAGGGGAAAGTGGGAGTTAGAGAAGCGGAGATGAAAGTCGAGGAGTCTGAGGTAAACGAAAAGAGTGAACCTCAGGCAAAAGATGCTTCTCAGGCGGCTGTCGTTGAGCATGTAGAATCGGAGTTCTCTGATGCGGTTGATGTGAAAACCACGCCTGAAGGGGATGCTGTTGTTGACGCCATTCAGGTTGACGTGGCTGCACCTGGTGTAGTTGTTGTTGGAGAGACGGAGGAGGATGGCGATGCGGGGAATGAACCGGAGAAGGAGGTGATTTCTGAAGTGGCTGTGATTGAACAAGAAAAGTCGGAGGTCGTTAGTCTTGTTAACGAGGGGCAGACAAGTCAAGGGGACCCTGTTGCTGTTGATGAGACAGAGCCTAAAGAGGAAAATTTAACTTCTGTGGATAAATTAGAGCCTAAAGAGGTTGCGGAAAACGTTGGTCTTGCTGATGTGGCACTCGCATCTGAAGGGGATTCTGTTGTTGATGCCATTCAGGTTGATAAGGTGGGACCGGGGGTTGTTGTTGTCGGGGAATTGGAAGGTGAAAAGATTGAAGGAGTAGAGGTTCCACTTGTATCGGTCAGTGGCCCTACTGAAACTGCTGATGATGTAGAAGAAGTCGGTACTAGGGAAGTCTTAGCAGCCAATATAGTTGATGTTGTGGATGCAGATGAAAATTCAGATGCAGTGGGTGTTGTTGATTTGGAAAATGGAGTTCACGCATCCTCGGAAAGTAATGATTCTGTGGATAGCGGTGATACAATAAAGAAGCCAGAGGTGGAATTTGAGTCGCCTAGGATTCCTGATTCTAGAATTGCTGGAAAAGCACGACCAATAATTGTTGGAATTAATAATCTCGAAGTAGAAGGTGGCGGGGAACCCGAGTCTGCTCCTATTTCCGAGGCTGTTGAGAATAGTACCACGCCCAAGATTGCTACTGATGGGGAGGTTGAAGGAGAAGTGAACCCGCGTGAAAATACTGGAAAAGCACCACCAGTAGTAATTGGGCGTAGTAGTCCCAAAGTAGAAGAGGATGTGGAATACGAGTCTGCTCCTATTTCCGAGGTTGCTGAGAATAGTATCACGGCCAAGATTGCTGCTGATGGGGAGGTTGAAGGAGAATTGGACGGGCTTAGTAATACTGTAACTGTACCACCAGTAGTTATTGAACCTAATAATCTCCAAGTAGAAGATGACGTGGAATACGAGTCTGCTCCTATTTCCGAGGCTGTTGAGAATAGTACCACGGCCAAGACTGCTACTTATGGGGAGGTTGAAGGAGAAGCGGGCGACAGTAGAAATACTGGAACTGCACCACCAGTAGTTATTGGAAGAAATGATCCCCCAGTAGAAGATGACAATGGTGAAGAAGTTAACCCCGAAGATTCCATGTCAGATGAGGACAGTGACGGTATGATTTTTGGTAGCTCCGAAGCCGCCAAAAAGTTCATCGAGGAGTTGGAGCGAGAATCTGTTGAGGATTCTCATGCAGGTGGTGAGGGCTCACTTCATCAGTCTAGGGGTATTGATGGTCAAATTGTCACGGATTCAGAGGAGGAGGAGGAAGAAGAAGAAGGTGAAACTGACGAAGAGGGAGATGGGAAGGAGTTGTTTGACAATGCTGCACTGGCAGCTCTTTTGAAAGCTGCAAGCCGTGCTGAGTCAGACGGAGGCAGCATCACTATAACCTCTCAAGACGGGTCGAGGCTTTTCTCAGTGGAGCGTCCAGCTGGTCTCGGATCTTCCCTCCAGTCTTTGAGGCCCGCCCAACGTCCGAACCGCCCCAGCCTTTTCGGCACTGCGGCTCCTTCTGCTGGCGGCGGTGGTGGTGGTGAAGTTGAGGATCGTTTGAGTGATGAGGAGAAGAAGAAACTGGAGAAGTTGCAGGAGATTAGAGTGAAGTTTCTGAGGCTTGTTCACAGATTAGGCCTTTCTCCGGAAGAATCTGTGGCGGCACAGGTTTTGTACAGGCTGGCACTTCTTGGAGGGAGACAAAGCACCCATACTTTCAACTTGGATGCTGCTAAGAGGACCGCTTTGCTGCTCGAAGCAGGGGGGAACGATGATTTGGACTTCTCGATAAACATCCTCGTTCTTGGAAAATCTGGTGTGGGGAAAAGTGCCACCATAAATTCAGTGTTTGGAGAAGAGAAGGCTCCGATTGATGCATTCGAAACCGGAACAGCTTCAGCAAGAGAGATTTCTGGACTTGTTGACGGAGTTAAGGTTCGTGTTATCGACACTCCTGGTCTTAAATCTTCCGTGATGGAACAGAGCTTCAACCGTGGCGTGTTGTCTTCTGTGAAGAAGTTCACGAAGAAAAGTCCACCTGATGTTGTTCTTTATGTGGATCGTTTGGACGCACAATCTAGAGATCTCAACGATCTGCCGCTCTTGAAAACCATTACCAGCTCTCTTAATTCTTCCATCTGGCGAAGTGCAATCGTCACTCTCACTCATGCTGCTTCTGCACCGCCAGATGGACCATCCGGTGCCCCTCTGAGCTACGATGTTTTTGTCTCGCAGAGGTCTCATGTTGTCCAGCAATCCATTGGCCATGCCGTAGGCGATCTTCGAATGATGAGTCCGAGTCTGATGAACCCTGTTTCTCTCGTGGAAAACCACCCCTCTTGTCGGAAAAACAGAGACGGCCACAAAATACTCCCCAACGGTCAGATCTGGAGGCCTCAGTTACTGCTGTTGTGCTACTCGATGAAGATTCTATCAGAAGCGAGCTCTCTCTCGAAACCCCAAGACCCTTTTGATCACCGAAAGCTCTTCGGTATGCGGCAGCGCGCACCGCCTCTCCCGTACATGCTTTCTTCGATGCTGCAGACTCGGACCCACCCGAAACTTCAGTCTGATCAGGGAGGTGACAGCGTTGACTCTGATATTGACTTGGACGAAGATTTATCAGACGATGACCAAGAAGGAGTGGATGAGTATGATCAGCTTCCGCCTTTCAAGCCTCTCAAAAAGGCTCAGATGGCGAAGCTAACGGCAGAACAGAGGAAAGCGTATTTTGAGGAATACGACTATCGGGTGAAGCTTCTCCAGAAGAAGCAGTGGAGAGAGGAGTTGAAGAGAATGAGGGAGATGAAAAAGAATGGTGGTAAAGACGCTGCTGCAGGTGATTATGCTTTTGCAGAGGATGATGCTGATGCGGGGGCTGCCGCCCCTATCGCGGTCCCACTTCCCGACATGGCTCTGCCACCTTCGTTCGATGGCGACAACCCCGCGTACAGATTCAGGTTCTTGGAGCCCACTTCGCAGTTTCTTGCAAGGCCGGTTCTTGATAACCATGGTTGGGACCATGACTGTGGTTACGACGGGGTCAACCTCGAACACAGCCTAGCAATCGCCAGTCGTTTCCCAGCTGTCTACACCGTCCAAGTCACAAAGGACAAAAAAGACTTCAGCATCAGTTTGGATTCCTCCGTTTCTGCTAAATACGGAGACGACATATCGACAATGGCTGGCTTCGATATCCAGAGCATGGGGAAGCAACTCGCCTACATCTTCCGAGGCGAAGCCAAAATCAAGAATCTGAAAAAGCATCGGGCGACAGGTGGATTATCATTCACGTTGTTGGGCGAAAACGTGGTCCCCGGTGTGAAGATCGAGGATCAGATTTCGTTGGGCAAGCAGTACTCTTTGTCGGGGAGTGCAGGTGCGGTGAGGTCTCAACAGGACACTGCTTATGGAGCAAACTTCGAGCTGCAGAGGAGGGAGCTCGACTATCCGATCGGTCAGGTTCAGTCAACGCTGAGTGTGTCTGTGGTCAAATGGAGGGGAGACTTAGCACTCGGGTTGAATAGTTTGGCTCAGTTTTCATTGGGTCGTAACTCGAAGGTGGCTGTACGAGCTGGGATCAACAATAAGCTTAGTGGGCAGATTACGGTGAGGACTAGCAGTTCGGAGCATCTTTCTCTGGCACTGACGGCCATTATTCCGACGGTGCTTTCTGTGTACAAGAAGTTCTTTGCTGGTGGGGGCGAAAAGTATCCGATTTACTAGTTGTTTTTTTTTTTATTTACGTTTGTTTCTGCGTTTGTATTCGATTTTTGTAGCATGCAAGACAAATAGCTCTATTCGTTATTGGCTGCTCTGCTTGTTTTTTGAATAATAATTCTCTTGTTTCCATTATATTTCCTGATGGTATTTTGCATGCACTGTTTTTGAAGCGATGGAAGTTGTTATTCCATTATTTATATGATTGGTGTATCTATCCATGTGTAGAGAACATACTTCATTCAGAGGCTCTCAACTGTTGCTTCTGTGTCGAAATTTTGACGGAATTTTCTATTTCGATCCGATTTTTTTTTTTTGATTTTGATATCATGTTTTTACTTCCGAATACCAATGACTTTTGATTTTTCCGATTTTTATGGAATGGGACTTTAGATATATCATATATATATGCATTCCACTTCGATTTTCCATATGATTTTAATTTTCAAAAATAATCTCGAAAAATTGAATTCTTTGCTCAAAAATTGAACTTATTATATCAATATTATTATATATTTTATATTATAACTTATAAGTGAAAAGAAAATCGATTTATACATATTTATACTTTGATTTTGAAATTTTTTTTTTTCATATTTAAATTTGGAAAAAGAAAAAGGAATGAATACTGAGGAATAAATAAATGTAATCGCGTAATTGTTAATTGGGTTAAATGGAGGACGATGAGTTGAAAGCGATTCTCAGGGAAGCGTTCGGCGATTCATCGTCAGACAGCGACGGCGAAGCGTCGCCTGAACGGCGAGAACTAGTTCAATTCAACCATTCGAACAGTGAAATCGGTAGGCCTCAGTCAATCTTCGGGGATAACAGTATTTGGGAACCTATCTCAGAAATCAATGGCCTCTCGATTTGCAGGGACTTTCTGTCCGCCGATCAACAGCGTTCCTTGCTCTCCGCTCTTGAAAAAGGTGATTGGAACATCACCCAAATTCCTTTGTAGGAAATGATTTGATTATGGTCGAGAGTTTTATGCTTGGAATTTTTTTGGTGCAGAGGGATATTTGGGTGAAGCCTCGCAAAATCAGGTATGTATTTGCAGATTAACTCTGGAAAAGTTTTAACACTGGTCTAGGTTTTTCAATTGAGCCTTTTAATTTTATGCGCATAAACTGTTTGATAAAATGTAACTACAGGCTGATCAGGCAAAATAAGTTGTTTCATGTTTGCTTTTCCATTGAGCTCTGTTTCTATTCCCTTTCCTTAGAAGTGTTCACCATATCTGCAAGTGGAGGTGTTTTACGATTAGTTTTAGTTGCTTTTTGAAGGCATCTGCTCAATACTACTCGTTCCATTCGTTCGTCAATATCACGAGAAATCGACCGGTTGTTACAGTGATTGCTTCTTTCTGCACGTGCTACACGGCATATATTTGTATCTAATGCATCTATTGTAATGCAGGCAATGAGATTTGGAGATCTTCCCCCATGGGCACTTGAGCTTTCGCGCATAATCCGCGAGAATGTTCTATTGAGTGATAACAGCAAAGAAAGCTGCCTGTTTCCATCAAAGTTAATAGGGAGGGAACCACTCTTCAACCAACTTATCGTAAACATATATCAGCCAGGTGAGGTGCGTTCCGATCCTCGTTCCACAGATTAACCAAATTCTATCTTCATAAATTCATAAATTCGCTGCAAGATTCAGAGCCTCTGACAATGTTGTTATTCGGGGGTATAGGGAATATGTGCACATGTTGACCTTATGCGGTTCGAAGATGGAATAGCAATAGTCTCGTTGGAGTCGTCCTGTGTGATGCATTTCAGCCCAGTCGAAGATGAAGTCGTCGGTAAATGCCAAGAGGCGAATCACAAGTGCGTAACCTCAGCAAAGATTCCAGTACTTCTAAACCCAGGATCTGTAATCTTGATGTGGGGAGAGGCGCGCTATCAATGGAAGCACGAAATCAATCGAAAGCCCGGATTTCAAAACTGGCAGGAACAAGAAATCGACCAGAAGAGAAGAACCTCTGTTACCCTAAGAAGGCTGTGTGGAACAGAGTAAAGGAATCTTGTTTCAAATTACAGTATTTACTTTTCAATATCACGCGAAATTGTGCGAAAAAACTGTCGATTTCGAACCCTTGAAAGATTTAAAATTTTATTAGGACGCTTTTAACGTTTTCTTAAAGAACTTTACAATATCATACAGACAACAATCTCATTCTTACAGAAACCTTCTTACATATTAAAAAAGAAAAGGTGGCCTGGCATGCAAACATAGGGGATTGGTTCTCTGCATATTATCAGTGAGAAGAAACAAGCCTAACATTGACAAGAGCAAGAAGAACCGCCCATGCCAAACACGGCTTAACCAAATCCCCGGCAATCGGATTCATATTCCTAAACATCCTCACACACCCTACAAGCACTCCGAACAGGGCACCGCAGATAACCAACCCGACCCGTGTTGCCCCCGCCCCGAACACAATCGGGTACCACCCGAGGCCGAGCACGAGCTGCCCCAAGTACAGCATCAGAGCTGTGGGCTGGCGGTGGAATCCTCCCTCCGCCCAAACAAGCCACGCCGACAGGCCAGAGAAGAAGGCGGTGGCTAAACAGGCCAAGTGCAGCGCCCACAGCGGCGGGAAGTAGAAGGGCTTGGGGAGGGTGCGGTAGCGGCTGCTGGATCCGAAGTAGAAGATGTCGATCAGGCTGAGGGAGAGTGGGAGCGCCACGGCGAGGCTCAGCGAGCGGAGTCCCCGCCGCGCCATGCCGGATTTCTTCTGCCTTCTGCGGTTCATTTCGCCGTCGTCGTCGGAGGTTGCTTCGATTACTTGTGGTTGGTTGATTTCTTCTTCGTGTTGTTTTGTTCGGTGTTTGAGGTCTTGGTGGGTAGCCATGATTATAGTGTGTGTGTGTGTGTGTTTTTGACGGAGTGTAGAAGAGGTTTGAGGGATTTCGGGATGATGGAGGTGCAGCGGAGCCGTACGGTTTTTTATAGAGTGGAGCGTGTTTATCTGGTAGATTTACATGGACGGGGTGGCCACGCGGCGGAGAGAGGTGGCGGGAATGTGTACACGTGGCGCTTCTGGTGTTGCTGAGTCTGTGACTAGCCACTTCTCCCTATAGGTTGACCACCAATTTTTAATTAGTCTCCCAATTTATAAAATTAGATTTAATTTGATAAAATGTTGTAATTCAATTTGATCAATTAGGAATATGATATTCCTAATTTAGGTTTTAACAGTTGTAATTAGTCTAATTAATAATGGAATCCTATTTTCTCAAAATCGACCTAACATTTAACCCGAAACGCTGCGTTTTATGTAAAATCAGTAGTAGAGCTTCACGGTTTAAATAACCCCTGCCTAATTTCAGCCGGCGGCGTACTCGCTAATCCGATGCCGCGACAAGCTACCGATATCCGATCCTCCGCCGCCGTCGGATCGGAGGTGGCGAGAAAGCACGATTCATTTATTAAAAAAATTGTCAGAAACCCCAAAACATCCTTCGCTCTGGCCATTCTCCTCGCCGACGCCATCCTGGTTTCTCTCATCATCTCCTATGTTCCATGTAACTACATAAACCCTAATTGCATTTGAAAATGAGTTTCTATATATTTTATTTAACATTTATTTGGGTTATGCATTTCAGACACGAAGATTGACTGGGATGCTTACATGTCACAGGTGATCACAACACCATTTCTCTTTTCTTTCTTCATTTGATTTCGAAAGGACGAATACAAATAATTAGTTTATGCTTCTTTCTCATCAAAATTTGATTTAGCAGGTTAGTGGTTTTCTGGGAGGAGAGAGAGATTACAGCAAACTGAAAGGGGATACAGGTCCTTTGGTATATCCAGCTGGATTTCTCTATATTTACTCAGCTATTCAGTATGTTACAGGTGGTCAGGTTTACCCTGCCCAGGTATATTTTCCTTTTTGTTCTATTACTTCTTTTCACAAAATTATTTTATATGTTGCAGGTGAAATTGGTTTGATATTGCTGAAAATTTATTCTAAATGAATAGTTTCCAGCTCGCTTATATTAAGTGGCCATAATTTTTCTCTCTTTTCATTGCAGGTGTTGTTTGGCCTGCTCTATATGGTGAATCTCGGAATGGTTCTATTTATTTATTTGAAGACGGATGTGGTATGTAATTTTGTCCTTTGATTTAAGATTTGTCTCTCTCACATTTATGAACTGCTTTAGGTATAAAACTTAGTATTTTATCATATCTGTTCAGGTTTATTGTTGAAAATAATAATGCTCTTTGATTTATTTTTCTGTTTATATTACCATCTACTGACTGATTAGTAAGTATAACTCATGTTTTGATTTCACGTAACCATTCTTGCAGCTTCCTTTGTGGGCTCTTTGCTTGCTTTCTCTGTCTAAAAGAGTGCACTCCATCTTTGTGCTTCGCTTGTTCAACGACTGTTTTGCCACAACTCTCTTCCATGCCTCATTAATTTCATTTCTTTATCAGAAGTGGCATCTGGGTTTAATTATCTTCAGGTAGAATACTTACTGCTTGTTACATAATGCTGGTAGCGTCATCATTATATATCAGTGTTTATATTTATTGGCTAAAGGTGTTCTAGACATGCTTCTTGTTAGCACAGTGGAGCTGTTTCTGTGAAGATGAATGTTCTTCTTTTCGCACCTCCCTTGTTACTCCTCTTGATGAAGGCAAGTTCTTTTTCGTTGTTCCTTTTTTTTCTGTATGTCAAAAGACGGGCATTTTACATCTTATGTTAGTTCTAACTCTGGCTGAAAATCTTGACTTACAGGCTATGGATATTTCTGGAGTTATATCTGCTGGTTTAGGTGCAGCTTTGGTTCAGGTGCTTGCTCTCTAATCCTGCTTATATTCATGGATTCTTTGGGTGCTCAATTTAACTTTAATTGTTGTAGGAAAATTAAGTGTCGACAACCATTTAATGTAAACGATAATTCACGCTGGCATTATCTGATTGAACTCGTTTTCTCCCTCACCACCTCTGGTGGATGATTCTGCAGATTCTCTTGGGGTTACCTTTCTTATTAACACATCCTGTTGAATATCTCTCAAAAGCCTTCAATCTTGGCCGTGTGTTCATACATTTCTGGTACTTCTATTATCTCGGCAAATTTTGTTTCATGACCACAGTTTTACCTTTTCCGTGATTCTTCAGCTGATAGGATTTCCTAGTTCATTTCTTACACTTCTTATTTATGACTCCGAAATATTTAAATGTAGACGGTCTGTACTACATAACATAATTTGCAATTGAATCTTTGATTTGTGCATGTGAGATCACTGAATCTTTCCTTTCGCGATTATGATCTAACCAAAGGCAACACATGTAACTGTATTTTCCAGGTCTGTCAATTTTAAGTTTGTTCCGGAACCAGTTTTTGTGTCTAAAGGATTTGCGCTGTTTCTATTGGCTGCTCATCTTATCCTGCTTGCTACCTTTGCTCATTACAGATGGTGCAGGTACACACATTTTCTTCCTTTTTTTCTTTGATAGTTTGTAAACCTACTATGGCTACTAATCATTCCTATGCCTTGTTGTGCGTAATGTTCCGTAATCGTAGATACACAAAATATTCTATTAGTGAGAATATTCTGTTTCAATCCCTTGAACACTACTTTTGCTCTTAACTTCCTGGTTTTTATAGATCGTTTTCTGAAAGTAATGTTACTTTATTTTTCTTCTGGCATGGTGCAGGCATGAAGGAGGACTATGTTCTCTCTTGCATTCCAAACTTGTTCAAATGAAGCTCAAGATTTCTTGTCTGAGTTCTTTTGCCCTCAGACCGTTCAATAATCACAATTCAAACCCGAGGGTGCTTAGAACAGAGCGTAAGTAATATCTAATTCATCGGCTCATCTTCTCACTGATAAATTAATTAATCTTTCTTGTGTGTTTTCCATTGAATAATTGGATTCAGATATCGCAACGACTATGTTTGTTGGGAACTTCATCGGAATTGTGTTTGCACGGTCTCTGCACTATCAGTTCTACTCTTGGTATGTGCTCTTGGACATATCTCTTAGTGGGCTTATCTCAAAATGTTGTAGCACGAAGATTTAGATGCACATCTTTTAATAGCAACATTGAAGATTTTAGGTTTACTACAACTCATTCTACCAAAATACTCCTATTTGTACGGGCTGTGTTAATTAGTTGTTTATTCAGTATAGATGTATTCTATGGCTTGTCACTAAATGAAAACCGAGACTCCTCTATGACAATGTTATTTACACGTGCAGGTATTTTTATAGCCTGCCCTATTTATTGTGGCGAACGCCATTTCCTACCTGGTTGCGGTAAATTTCTTGACTACGAAACTGAATCTTCGAGCCTACTATCACTATTATTGTGACCTCTTTAATAATCATAATAATAATAAAAAAATGTGTCGTTTGCAGCTTAATTTTGTTCGTGATAGTGGAGTTCTGTTGGAATGTCTTCCCTTCAAACGACTACTCATCGATTCTGCTACTTGGAGCCCACTTAACTATATTAGCAGGCCTCTGGTTGGCACCACCGGAATATCCATACGTTGAAGGTACAAACCAAAAAACAGCAAATATAGAAAAGAAATCCAGCTGAAGACTCTTATCTAAATTAAACTTATTTCAATTGAATCTTTGTTGTTCTAATTAAACAAGATTGTGTTGGATGTAAAATTGAAAAAAAAAAAATATTTTTCGAAAAAATATCCTTTTTCGTTTTTCTGGACATACATACAATCGAGTCCCCGATTTGTTAGATTTGCTTCCCATGATTTCCTCAACAGAACTTGTCTTTTTCCTGGGAATCTTAATAGAAATTTGAATTTTTAATCATTTTTTTCGCCTTATTGAAGTTTGGTGTGCAGAGAGAGCGCTTGTGATCACATGGAAATGTATATATAAGGCGACTCTTGTGATCACAGTAAATGAGCTTTTAAATAATTACATATTAGTATTTGACTTCTTTCCCCACTGTAAAAAGTCTTGGTCTTTTTATTGTAATTTTTTTTTTCCTCCACAAGAATTAATGACTCTGATGGTTAAAAAAAAGTCAAATCAATTTATAAAATTACATATACTCAATTATAAGTTAGAGATAATAGATTTTGACGCTAAAAAATTAGTGGAGTGTGTCGAACAATTCGATTTTTGAAAATTCTTGTACTATATGACGATTCGATGTAATTTGCCAGTTATTATACGACGACGACGTAATTTTCAAAGTGAACATATGTGCACTACGCGTTTCTTTATCAAAAAAACAAAAGAAAAAAAAAACATTTGAAATTTGGTCTCAATTATAACTTCAAATTGTTTGTAAATACAAAGGGCAAAAGCTGGCAGAGGCAAGACAGCGAGTATTGGAGAAAAGATTCTCCCAAACTTTAGTGTTTCTCTCTCTTCATCCCAAACATTCAATATTGACTTTTCATCTTTCTCTCTCTTAATCCATTGGCTTTTGCTCAATGAAGAAGAAGAGAAAGAAGAGTATACTCTGCTGCCCAATCAACCCTAATACGACACAAAAATCTACAGAAAAATCTCTGTATCATTACAAATAAAACCTTTTCCTGCATTTCTGAATTTCCAGAAATCCAATGAACTAATTACCTTTTTGTATACTATCAATTAAGAAAAATTAAGGGGAATAAAACACACAATTTAATTGAAGTTCAATAAATATACAGTTCACAAACACTTCCATAAATTCTTCTGTAAATCATCTGATTGTAACAGGAACACACATATATTGTATATCGTAAGAGTATCCAAAAGAAAAAAAAGGAAGAAACGAAACAGAGAACACTCGTAAGAATTACAAAATCAGATCTCGGAAATATGAAGAGAAAAATAATCAATTATTACAGCAAATCTTTACCAGTTATAATAATAAATACATAAAACGTATATATATAAAACGTGACAGAAGCGGAGAAAAATAAAATAAAAATAATAATTAACTCCGGCACTGTGTGGCGGTGGAGCAAGTTCGGGTGTAGGGATTAGCTTGGGCACCTGGTCTACAATTGTAGTACGAAGCGCCGCGGCGGGAGCAGGGGACGCTGTTCGCCTGAAGCGCACCGTAGCTGATGTAGTTCGATGTGGCTAATATGCGCCTGTTGCTCTCCGAATCCAATTCGAACTCACCTGCGCCTTCTGCCATGCACTCCGCGATCGATCCCTTGCAACTCGCCGCCTTATTCGTCGGCATCCAGCTGTATTCTTCTCCTGCATCGACGGTGGCGAGGATTACGGCGGCCACTACTACGGCGGAGATGAGGAGGCGGAGAAGGGGGTGAGTTTTCGCCATTTTTAATTTTGTCAATGGTTTCTTCTTCTTTAGATTTGTTTAATTCACAAAGGAAAACTGAGCGGGCTGGCAGGCCATTTTAAGTAGTTGGCTCCTTATGGATTTGGTGCTAATATTCCTTCTATTCACGAATATGCCACTCATCTTATTCCCTATTTAAAATTACAAAATATAGTAGTAATTGTTTGTGGGTAACCACAACAACTCACATTATTATTAATTTATTATAATTAAAATGATTTTTTTACAAAATTTTGATTATGATGATTGTGCATCATGGACTTGGAATTTTATGGTGGAGAACACGTTATTAATTAATTTGAATAAATTAAATTAATTTTTTGATTGAGTTTATTGATTTGACATCACAAAATAGAAGTGCAAATCCATCTAATCCTGGCCCCACCTTTGGCCTTCCTTTTCATCTTTTTTTATTTCCCTCCATATATTCTTATTTCTTTTCCTTTATTTCCCTCCATATATTCTTATTTCTTTTCCATTATTTCCCTAAACTAAAGTAAGATTAGAAAAAGAAAAAGTAAGACAAAGATTCCCAATATAATTGCCAATTATAGGTAACTATTTTTTAATAAGAATTATTATTTAAAAATAGAGCAATAACAATGGAATAATTTTGTTCATTCCTTCTATTAACGTGAGGGACAATAATATTATCTCAAAGTATTAATTTAAAAAAAAATGTATGTACAAAATCTTAATTTTTGACCATTCTATTGTGTTTTTCATAATAAATATTTAATTAAGAAAGTCCATATTAGAATTTTTGACTCCATCCATAATACATATGTCATCATAAAAATAAATTAATAATGTAATCATTAGAATTATCTGGCTCCATCCCTAATTTGAACGTCATCATAAAATAAAAATAAAATAAAAACAAATACCAAATTTAAAAATATTAATTATGGAAATTGGAATATGGCCCTCTACAAGTACAAGAAGAAAATAACAATTCAAGTAATACTTGCCCTGAATAAGAAGTTGGTATTGTATGGGTTGAACAGTTCAAAAAATTAAATTGAATTTGGTTCATTTCAGGATATATATGCCCAACAACCATCAATAGTTGAGTTGTCCTAATCTTAAACCCAAAAGCTACATTAATAAAAATAATTCGCAATTAAAATAATGCAAAGAATTAGATATTTAGAAAAGTTGAATGTGATTGGCTGCAGGCGGTGGTGACAATAAAATAAAATAATAATGAAAAATCTGGAATTGAATTAGTAAAATAAAATAAAATAAAGCTTGTTTTCAAGCGCGTCCTCGATTATTGTCAAGAAGTTGGATCCCACAATGCCATGAATCTTGCCAATTTCCATACTTACCTACCATTGAAAATGATTTTTCATTTTTAATATTATATTTACTTAAATTATTCGGAAATAAGACTACACACGCTTATACATATGTATGTATGTGTGATTGTGACAAAAGAAGGAATACACACACTATACACACACATTTGTGTGTGAGTACACAAATATACAGTTGTATACAGACATATATATATATATATATATCTCCACACACAAAAAGGAAGTCAATATTGACTTTAGGGATTGGATTAGTCAAAACAAGAAATAAAATGTGCAGTTACTAAGATAAACTTGAATTAGGATGCACATAAACTCATTCTAAATACATTAATCAATCTGACAATCTGAGTATATGAACAAGTCAATGTACATCTTTTATGGAAACATCAATTTCAGATACCTCAAAATGGGAATATAATAGAATAATAATGAGTGATTTTGCTTAATAGGGATTTGTACTATCTTTCGATCTTGCTAAAAAATGCTTCCAATGGTGGAACATCCTGCACGATTTCTTGCCAATCGGGCATCCCCTGAAAAAGCAATAAGAACGTACTATTATATCGTAAATTTCAATAAATTACGAGGGAGCGATAATCGATTATGCTTATGTTTGATTTTATTTTTTATTATAATTATATTCAATAATGAATCACTAACCCTCCCTGATTTACGAACACGGCCATCCAGACGGAGGATTATGTATACATCTTCGCCGGGGGTTATGCCTTCGGACTTCTGTTGATCTCTAATCCACCTGGGAGGAGAAAATTCAAAGGCCAGCTGTGGTTAGTCTTGATATTATGCAAGTAATAGTATAACCAAGTAAATTAACTTTCCAATTTATTCGGAAGCAAATTCACGTCTTTCAATTGAGATAAAATTGTGACAGCAGCAATTAAGAAAATTATAGAGACGATTTAGAGGCAATCGACTTGACAAAATCTTGAAAGTACCGACCTTTCCCATTCAGCTGGTGATACAACTTCTGCTTTGAATCGGATCTCTGCCTTAATTTTCGATTTTCCTACTACTGATTGAGCTCGCTGATCAAATTCGTCCTACCAGAAAACAAAACAAGCGGAACACATCAATCAATCAATCAAGAGAGATAGAGAGAGAGAGAGAGTTATTTAAACCATGTGTATACGTTTCTCACCCCAATAGACGGGAGAGAAGCAGCGGCCTTTGGAGAAGAACCAAAGCCTTTCTTCTCCACTTGTGGTGCTCTGCCTTCACCCCATACAACAGGAACAAGAATTATTCCTCTTCTAAGAAGCTCCGCTCGAAACCTCTCTCCCTTACGCATGGCCGAAGCAACTGTCTCTTTATTCCCAGCCAAAATAACCTAGACCAAAATAGCAGCTATAATATCATCTCAATATATATTGATATTTATCTTTACACAACTTTCAAAGCTTCGAAGATATCCAATTATTATTATGCGGAGATCAAGAAACTGTTCAGTTTAAGAATTTGAAAATGAAGAAATATTGAAGAAAAAATTATTCCAATTGACAAAATGAAAAACACCCATCGTATAATATGAATAGCTATGATGATATGCCAAAAATTCATCGGGGATAATTAGGAACTGTAATAGTGAAAATAGAAAGAAAATAAAGGGTCACTAACGGGCCGTGCTGTGTCACGTAGCTGCACGAGTTCCACAACCCTGTTAGTCGAAAGGCGCAGAGGTAGCCTCGACAGAGTTTCATTCCTCGTAATTAGAGCAAGTTGTTCCTCCTCTTTCTTGTTTTCCCACAAATATAAAGCCACAAAAACTACAATACCTGCACATCACTGAGTCCAAAAATTTAATTGATTTCCGGAACAAGCCCATCCTTTTTCACTCTTATACTTCAAATAATATTTTAAAAAAAATAACAAACGTCTCCTATGAAGTTTGTCATTGTTTACCTCCAATGTTTATTCCCGCATTTTTCAAAGTTTCCAATGTATCAGGAGCACCATCACCGCCTTTGATTGCACGGAGCAGTGCAGGTAAAGTAAATAACAAGGATATTCCGGCAGCGGCAGTGAATGCCACATAGAAAAATCTGCGAATTCCACGAAACGGTGCTTGGACCTCACTAATGAGTTTAAGATCCCTTCGAAAGCCATAGCCAATATCTTCTCCACCAAGTCTAGCCTGTTTCATGGTAGAAAGGAAAATTGCATTGTAGTTAAAAAGTGTTGATTGGTGAGGTCCACAAGTTCCCACAAACCCTAAAAAAAGAAAAGGATGCTTTGGTAGTTAACCTCTTCTTGCAATTCTTTGAATTCAGGCAATGCTCTAAACGAGGCCAAATCAGGGTCGTTTAGAATGGTGCCGAATTTGAGGTTATATTCTTTCAAAGCTGTGCGCAAAGAGTCGGCAGCTTTTTTTCCTTCCTCCCTTTCTCATAGAGCAAAACACAAAAAAAATATAAGATTTGTGAAACAAAAAATTAGGCATTCTCCAAAAATAACGGCAAGAATTTGACAAGGACTTCAAATATTACCTATAGGCATGACAACAGGCTTTGTTATACAGAGCAGCTTGAGCTTCCACAGGATTGGGATTCAAAGTAAGAGCAACGTCAAACTGTTCGAGAGCATCTTTGACCTGGAATATAGAATACCGTAACTTTAGGCTAAATCTCTCCAAATGTTGAACATGAATTGGAGAGTCTTTGTTCTAAATAGAGACGCAGAACAGAAGCCCTAGGAAAATTAAGCCAGAAACTTTGCTGCAAACATTACAGTCTACTGAAAGGTTAACCTCTTCAAGTACATTATTTTGCTTTTCGATTAAAGATATTTATCCCGATTATACGGAAGATATTTAAACACTTCACATCCACAGGTGCGTGTTCCAAATGTAACAGCATAAACGAAGCATCATTGTCGACATCATCATCTAAATTGAACTACTAATCGGCAGCATTACTCTAGGGTTTCTATCCCAATATAATCAGCGAAAAACAAATGGTACGAGCTAATATGGTATTAGTCTAATCAAACAGTTTCAGAAAATGCTCAGAATGTAAAATTTATCAAACGTAATTTGTCTCAGTTAAGCCCTAACGAAATTCCAGAAAACATGAAATGTAAGGAGAAAAAGAAGAACTTAAAAATTAATAGGCAACAACAGTACCCGTCCTTTGGAGAACAGCGAAAGCCCCAAATTAACACATGACTCAGCGGTGAGTTCACTAATTTCCGACGGAGATGGAGACGGAGAGCAATTGGTTATCGGGCCATGCGTGGTTCCTGTGAGCTCGATTGACGCCCAAAAAGAAGAGGATGGTGTTATTTTTCTGCTCAGAAACCACGATTTTGAAATTAGCAACGAAGTTGTATTTTGGAGAGAGGAACGGGGGAGGTAATGGCGGTGGTGGTGCGGTGGCGCCAATGTTGCCGCGGCCATTGATGAGAATTCATGGGCAAGGTTATCAGTTTATCCAAAAGCTAACGGTTACCATCCGATTTTCCGATTTCGATTTTTCCATTTTTTATTTAAAAAAAATATATTCAATTTGGGCCTCATATATACTCAAATAAAGCACATTATTTGGGCTTTATTATTTTCGAATAGATTGCTAACGGTTTCCTAGTCTTCCATTAGTAGTAGTACCACTGATTTGGGCTTCAAGTTGGGCCATAAAAAATAGTTTGAATTTTCTATTATATATAAAATGATATTCGTATTTTATATTTTATTTTATCAATATATACATCAATTCTCCCAAGTACCTTGAGTTCGATAAACAGGAAAAATATGAGAGAGTGGTAAGTCCCCTTGGATAATTAGACGATGCTACACCTGGTTATTTACATTGAATATATTTCAACCGTAAATTGATCGACCGATTTAGATGTATCAAACATAGAGTCACATTTAACGAGCATTAGATAAACCACGTACATTATCTTATAATTAGCTTTCGAAACAAACGAAATATCTCCCCACACTTGTTTCGTCACACAATACATATACACCGATCACTTATAATATGTGGGTAGAATATGGAGAGTGGATGGTGCACTCAAAGAAAAAGTGCAAACCAGATCATTGCTTTGTCAAGAACACATGACAAAAATCCATATATATATATATATATATATATATATATATAAAAAGCTTTGGCATCCAATTAATCAAACATGTATGCGCATGGGCAATATAATCACTAGCTCGATCATCATGATATTTTGTTTCATAGCAACCCCTTACGAAAAAAACAAACATACACGATTATTTCATGGATAAGGCACGCTTCTGAATCTAGTCATGTAATAAAAAAAAAACAAGGCAAAAAAGCATAGCAAAAGCTTTCATGGCCATATATGATTAATTATCAGAAAATAAAGAAAAGCTGCTGAATGCTTATTTGTTATATTAAATTAAAATATAGTAAAGAGAAAAGTCGGGGTGGTCATCCACTAACGTAACTGTCTGTCTCCAATTATATATCACCCGCACCGGCAAATTTCATCTTCATCAGCATTTCATTCTGTCTGTCACTTAGTTTGCTGTTATATATGCTGTCCAAATCGAAATTAATATCTTTTTATTTTATGGGAACATATATGCATGGCGCTATAGAAATTAATAAAGCAATTGTATGGGTGGATTTAAATTTAATTAAATTTGATTAAGATTATTATTATTGGTTATTAATGAATGCAAGGTAAGTAATTATAGGCCACAGAGGTTGCAATCAGAGAAAAGAATTCTGGGGAGATGTCTAATTATAATAATGGATTACACGTCAACCAAACACACACTCTCTTTTCTCATAAAGAAAGAGATGTTCAACTGATTTTACGTTCCTAAAGTAATTTCTCTTTATTCACTTTGTCTTTTTTTTTTCTTTCCCCCCTCCATCATCATCATCATGCTCTTATGCACCATCTACTCAAATCGGAAAATTTGTTATTTTGTCAATAAAAGTATTATCTTCTTTAATAAGATATGCATTATTGAGTCTAATTGAACAAACAGGCCCACTAATTAATTAATTAATTAATTGTGGATTAATTCTAGAGGTGGCCCTAGTTAATAATGAATTAAGCAAGACAAGATTTGTCGTCTCAGGTCTACACGTGAACCCTAAAAAAAATTATTAAATATAATAAATACAGTTTTTGCCGATTCCAAAAAGAAAATACTTAAAATAGCTTTTGTTGCATGTGTACGTACCTTCTTCATTTGAGACTCCATGTAAATTAATGATGCTTTCTTATCCATAATATATATATATATATATTATATTGGAGAATATATAATGATGTCATCTTCCTTTGTTGAAACGAATCATACACATGCATATTAATGTATTATATATAAATTATAATCCGATCAAAATTTGAATTCGAAAAAAAAAGGGCACGTTTTTACCTTCGAAAGAGAGTGCATGCATCAGATGCTGTCTGCACTTAAATCATAAAAAGTGGGAAAACAGTAAGAACCCATATATCCATGTTTTCCCACACCATATACTCACTCATGTGATGCACTTTTAATATATGACTCCTAATTTATACATAATAATATTTACTGTTTATTGTATCAGATGATCAGGCTTAATTATCATAATATATTCTAAAGTTAATGCGAAATATGATAAATGAAATAACAAGGGTAAATAGTACTCCACCTTCATGTGGTTATAAGCTTTTGCAGGTGACCTCCGTGTGCTCGTAATATAAGTACATAACCCCTTGTGGTTTATGAAGTAGCTTCCGTTAGCTATTCTGTCCTATTTATACCTGAATAGCAATAACATACGTCATATCCAACTAATTGGAATAATAATCCAAACGGATGGTGGGTATTGTAGTGGATCGGGAAGAAAAAAAACGACAACGCTTATTTGACCGACCAATGTAATAATATCCAAAAAAGAAACCACTATGTATGCAGATCACATGAATTATATGCCACTACCATTGCCCTCCTTATATATATAGATGGACTCATATCGTTCCCTCCAACTATTCACACAAGCAATTAAACAAATTAAATCCTGTATTACTTATCCTAAATAATATATACATAATTATCTGTATCGATCTCGTGTTAATTGATTAAAAGAAGAAAAAAAAATGGATGGTAAGAAATTGGAGTACAAAGGTGCGGATGCATTGAAGGAGCTCGAAAGATTAACAACAAAAGCAGGTGAAGTTCAACAAGAAATCTTGATAAAAATCCTGTCACAGAATCGGGAAACGGAGTATTTAAACAAATACATGGGTGACTCATCATTAATATCGTCGAAAATATTGGTGTCTCAGTTCAAAAACCGCGTACCTGTTATTACGTATAAGGATATTCGTCCTTACATTATCAGAATTGCTAATGGAGAAGACTCGAGTCTCATTACTTCCCGCCCCATCACTGAGATGCTATGCAGGTAACTATCGAGCCTCGTTTTTTATTTATATATAAAATGGTCGTTCGTTTCGTTAAAAGAAGTATTTCGTGAATTGCAGCTCCGGAACTTCAGCTGGGGAGCCCAAGTTGATGCCGTCCATTGCAGAGGATCTTGACCGTCGTACATTCCTTTACAATCTCATCATGCCTATAATGAACCAGTTAAGAATTATTTATTTTCACTTTCTGGCTTTTATGCCGTATAATATATATATATATATAATTGGAACTTTTTGCATGAATCTACGTCCAATTTGCTTTAAATTAAGTCTATTATAATCTAACCCAAAAAAAAAATTAAAATAAAAATGATTCAATATTCTCTTGTATATTTCGAATCATCATTTTATTTGTATATGTTTTTGAGCTATAATTAAAAATAATAAAATAATAATGAATATTTAATTTCCAACAATACTATACGTACCAGGCATGTAGCTGGGTTGAGCGAAGGCAAAGCTATGTACCTCTATTTCATAAAAGCCGAGATGTCGACTCCATGCGGCTTACCGGCTCGAACCGTGCTGACCAGCTACTACAAGAGCACCCACTTCAAGCACCGCCCACACGACCCCTTCAACGACTTCACCAGCCCTGATGCCGCCATCCTCTGCTCCGACAGCGACCAGAGCATGTACTGCCAGCTCCTCGCCGGACTCATCCACCGCCGCCGTGTCCTACGCCTCGGGGCCGTCTTCGCCTCCGCTCTCCTCCGCGCCATCTCCTTCCTCGAGCGCCACTGGCGCGACCTCTGCCGCGACATTCGCGCAGGAAAACTCGACGACCGCATCACCGACCCTGCCTGCAGATCCGCAATGTCGGATCTGATCGGGCGGCCCGACCCAGATCTGGCGGGCCAGATCGAGGAGATATGCGGGGTCGGGAAAACGACGCCATCTTGGAAGGGGATTTTGTGTCGGCTTTGGCCGAATGTTAAGTATATTGAGGCGGTGGTGACTGGGTCCATGTCGCAGTACGTGCCGGCGTTGAGGTATTACAGTGACGGGAAGTTGCCGTTGGTTTGTACGATGTATGCTTCGTCGGAGTGCTATTTTGGGGTGAACATGAAGCCGTTGAGCGACCCATCTGAAGTTTCATTTACGCTGTTGCCGAATATGGGTTTTTTTGAGTTTATACTGTTGGGGGAAAACGGGTCATTGTTGATGGATTTTGAAGAAGATGATGAAGAGGAAGCGTTGCCTCCGACTGTGCTAGTGGATCTCGTGCATGTTAAATTGGGTTGTTACTACGAACTCGTGGTCACAACATTTTCCGGTAAGCTATTTTAAAATAAAATTAAAAAACACGTGTAAGCACTATCTTAATTTTTCTTGTGGATGCATATATTATATATATACTGGTTTGAGTTCTCAGGACTTAACCGATACCGCATAGGCGACGTGCTCCAGGTGACCGGATTCCACAATGCAGCCCCACAATTCCGGTTCATCTGCCGCCGCAACGTGGTCCTCAGCATAGACAACGACAAGACCAACGAGGAGGACCTCCACCGGAGCATCACCGCCGCCACCAAGAGCCTCCTCGAGCCCCGTCACGCCCTCCTGGTGGAGTACACTAGCTACGCCGACACCTCCACCATCCCCGGCCACTACGTCATCTACTGGGAGATCAAAAACACAAACGCAACACAGCCGCCCATCTCCGGCGAGGTGGTGTCCGAGTGCTGCATCGCGGTGGAGGAGGGGCTTGATTACGTGTACCGCAGGTGCAGGACAAACGACAAGTCGGTGGGCCCGCTTGAGATCAGGGTGGTGAAATCCGGAACCTTCGAGAAGCTGATGGATTTGTTTATTGCACAAGGCGGCGCTTCCATTAATCAATACAAAACTCCGAGGTGTGTTAAGTCAAAAGCCGGTTTGAAGCTGCTTAACGCTAACGTGAGCGAGTGCTACTTTAGCCCCAGGGATCCTGCCTGGATTGCTTGAAATTAACTGGCCGTACCGGAGAAAAGAAATAAATAAATAGTTTAGCGATCATCAAGTTAAAATTGGTCGTTAATTAGTAATTACTGGCTCTTAATAACCGAGTTCTAGTTATGATTAAGGGATGATCATAGCATGTGATCTTGTAAGAAGTCCATGCTCAATTTCGCGTCGCAAGTAATAACAATTTTGGAATTTCGCTGGAACAATAAATAAATAAATGAATCTTACTTAAATCATAACATAGTTATTCTATCAAAATCTCCTGGATGAACAGAGACAACAAAAGCAGTTTATTATGCATTTCATTTGATAATCATAATCAAGAGACAAATCCAGAACATGAACAACTTCAATTTGGAAATAAATAATGCATATTTTAGTACCTATTAAGGAGCTGGCGCTTCGGTCGATCGACTTCTCTACTAGATAGCAAAACCTCATCGCCGATTGCAGCGGCCACTTTTATCCATCCACCGGTGCCCTTCTTCAGAATCTAGGGCACATGCGCAAGCAACGGCATCAGTATCAACAAGTGGAACACCATATGCTTTGAAAATATCGGAGACTGTGATTTTGCCCGAGGATGTGCCTCTGGTCAATTCCGACTACCGTCATTGCCGGAAAATTGAATCAGAGTTCGCCGGAGGATGACGAGAACTGGGCTTTAGAGGAAAGAAAATTGGGCTCAAGAGAAATGTAATTTGGTGTGAGAGAGAAACGCTACTTAAGCCTCAGATTTATCAGGCTGGATAGTGTTGGGCCTAACTTAGTGGGCCAGCTTATTATGATCCCAATTTTTTATTAATTAGTGGGCCTAATTTCACAATAACCTATCACAATTTGTAATATTTTAATTTAAATCCATTTTAAGCAAACACAAATACAGCGCACATCTGGTGTAGTGGTATCATAGTACCCTCCCACGGTACTGACCAGGGTTCGATTCCCTGGATGCGCATTTGTTTTATATCACAATTTAATTTTTGCCCGTTATTTACATTTTACCTCAAAATCCCTTTTCATTCCATGCGTATTCATAATGCACCGATGAGCAATCCAAGAAATTTGGCTCCAAGAATCATCCACCTTTTGAACACTCGCTGCAAAACTCGATCCCACCTTCGTCAAATCCTCGCGCATATAATCCTTCACAACCTCCGCCCTGACACCACCGTCGCCCCCCACTTCATCGCCGCCTGCCACTCCTTAAACCTCCTCAGCTCCGCCGCCTTCCCCCTCTACATAAACAACCTCGCAACGCCCCACACTTTCGTTTGCAACACTCTCCTCAAAGCCTTTTCTCATTCCGGCACCCCTCAGAAATCTCCGGTGATATACTCCCACATGAACAGGAATGCTATCCCCGTGAATCATTACAGTTTCCCTTTTGTGCTGAAAGCTCTGGCGGATTTGAAGTTGGTTGAAGAAGGGATGTCGGTGCATGCCCAGATAACTAAACTGGGTTTTCTTGCTGACGTTTATGTTGGGAATTCGTTGTTGAATTTGTACGCCGCAGCTGGGAATATGTCTTTATGCGGGAAGGTGTTTGATGAAATGCTTATGAGAGATGTTGTGTCGTGGACTGTTGTGATCTCCGGGTTTAAGGAGGCTGGGAGATTCGACGATGCGTTGATTGCATTCGAGAGGATGAAAAGCGAAGGAGTAATGCCTAATCAAGTCACTGTGGTTAATGCTTTGGCTGCCTGTGCAAGTTTTGGGGCATTGGATATAGGTGTGTGGATCCACCAGCACGTGAAAATGAGAGGGTGGGATTTGGATGTGATTCTAGGTACTTCCTTGATTGATATGTACGGGAAATGTGGCCGAATTGAAGAGGGTTTACGTGTTTTTGAGGCAATGAAAGAGAAGAATGTGTTCACTTGGAATGCGGTTATTAAAGGTCTAGCTCTGTCGAAGAGTGGTAAAGAAGCTATTAAATGGTTTTACAGAATGGAAGACGAAGGTTTTCAACCTGATGATGTGACTTTGATTGCGGTGCTTTGTGCGTGTGTGCACTCGGGTTTAGTGCATATGGGGCGGCAGATATTTGCTTCGTTGGTCGACGGAAAATATGGGTTTTCGCCTAGTGTGAAGCACTATGGCTGTATGGTTGATCTTTTAGCACGTTCCAAGTGTTTGGACGAGGCGCTTAGGATGATCGAGGAGATGCCATTTGAGCCTACTGTGAGTATTTGGGGAGCTCTGCTTGCTGGCTGTAGAGCTCAAGGAAACTCTGAACTGAGTGAGATTGCTGCTTGGAAACTTGTGGAGTTGGAGCCGCATAATTGTGCCTATTATGTTATCTTGTCTAATTTATATGCGGAAAAGGGAAAATGGAGCGATGTGGAGAAAGTTCGAAAATTGATGAAAGACAGAGGACTTAAGAAGGATGTGGGCAGCAGCAGCACAGTTGAACTTGAAAATCGGGAACGCTCACTTGAATTGGTAGCCTAACATCTTTGCTTGATATTTTGTATGGACAAAGAGCTGTTTGCGTTCTTCGTGTTCCTTAATTTTTTGTTTGAATATGTTTTCCCTCAAATAATAGCGTCTAAAATTTTATCAATGGAATTAAGTTAGGTAAGTCGATAATGATGTGGAAAAAAGATACGAATACTGTTATCTGATTTTAGTCATTGACTCGATGCATTTTCTGTTACCTTGTTCAAGTCTACGATTCTCCGTTCGAAAAAGTAAGAAGTATGATGATGTGGTCTGCTGAAAAAACAATCTGTCTGATCCGAGTTTCAACATCGGGCATATTTCTCTATTTTCATGGCAATTCAACAGCAGAAGGTAAAACTTATTACAGAACTCACAGTTATATAAATAAGTTATATGACTTGTTGACAAAGACTCTTTTGTTGCCTTTTTGATAATCTGATTTAAGATGTGAAACAGAACGCTGGAAGCAGAACACAGAGCAAGAAAACGGGCTTTTATTATGAAAGTAAAGACTTTTTAAGCTCACTGACTGCCATGGCAACAACCTTTTCCGAAGCTGGCCGTGCCGAAATGTCTGCATACCAGGCACTCACACGAGGGTGCGAATCGAAAGAAGCCTTAACTCGAGTTCCCATCAAGTAACTCATTGTGGGGATGTGATGGAGATCTGCTAAAGTGAACCGCTCACCGCCCAAGTATTTCGACGCGCCCAATCGAGCTTCATACACATCAAGAACCTTAGACAGTAGAGCTTCTTGCTCTTCGACAACAGCATAATCTGTCACCATTCCCAAGAATGGCTTAGTACAGAGTTCCCAGGTTAACTTTGAAGCTACAGGATCGAATTTCTGAGCCTCCACCTCCGCCCACACACTTGCAACAGCCATCTGTTTTGGATCACGGAATATCAACGGAGTTCCTTTGTCGGCATAAGTATGTGCAATGTATTGAGTGATTGCCCTTGATTCTGCGTTACAAGTTGATTTCAAAGTCAGGGGACATTGTTAAATCGAGGTAGGTCTTTTTTTTGCATGAACCGACGAAATTGCAAATTTTGAAAAAAAGTAGCTATTACCGAACATCTTGAGATCTCCATCTTCATAGGCTGGGACTTGACCAAATGGCTGGATGAAGGTAATTAATCAAAAAATGTGTTAAAAACGATTTTCATTAATGACTTTACGTTTGAAGGTTTCAAGATTAATGCTTACGTTGAGCAAAAGGAAAGCCTCCTTTTTGTGCTCTCCGGCCCTCATATCAATCGAAACAATCTCGTAATCAAGCCCTTTCTCGTTGAGGCAGGCGATAACTTTCATTGCTGCAGTTGACAAAACGGTGCAGTGGACTTTGATCGCCATTGATGGTGAAAAAGGTAAAGAATTATAAAAAAAAAAAAAAAAAAAAAAAAAAAAAAAAAAAAAACTGAATTATAGTTTTGATTGTTGAAGATGATATGGTAGGAAAATATGGAGTAGGTTCTTACTTATAGTGACCTTATGTTTGAATTTTATTTATTTTTAGATGAAAAGTCTGGTCATTGGATTTAATTAATTGCCCGTCGATTCGAAAGTCTTCTATTTTTATCTGTTCACCTAAATTTCCAGGAAAGATCCTATTGGAATTGAACCACTACATCTGTGCATATGTCACTCTAGTTGTAGTTGTACTATATTTTCGCAAGGGCACAATCGTAAGTGCACATGTCGTCCAAGTTTGTTAAGAGACGAAATATTTCAACAGCAGAAGGTGTAATTGTATTACAGAACTCACAAATTACATAAACCAAGTTCAATGACTTGTCGACGAGACTCTTTTTATTGTCTTTCTGATTCAAGACTCGAAACAGGAAAAAAAACGCAAGCAGAACACGAGAGTGAGAAGGAAGAACAAGCGCTGCAATTACGGGAAAAAAAAACGAAAGACACTTTTAAGCTCACTGATTGTTTTTCATGGCAACAACCTTTTCCCATGCAGGCCTTGCCGAGATATCCGCGCACCAAGCGCTCACATGTGGTCGTGAATCGAAACATGCCTTGACTCGAGTTGCCATCAAGTAACTCATTGTAGGAAGGTGATGGAGATCGGCTAAAGTGAACCGGTCACCGCCCAAGTATTTTGACTCGGCCAATCGAGCTTCGTACACATCAAGAACCTTACAAAGCAGGGCTTCTTGCTGTTCAACAACAGCATCATCTGTCGCCATTCCCAATAGCGGCTTAAGACCAAGTTCCCATGTTAACTTTGAAGCTGGTCCGTCGAACTTTTGAGCTTCCACCTCCGCCCACACAGTCGCAATCGCCATCTTTTTCGGATCAAGGTACAATAACGGAGTTCCATTGTCGGCGTACGTATGCGCTATGTATTGATTTATCGCCCTTGATTCTGCATTATAAATTTTTGTTAAATTGTGGGACATTGTTTTTTTTTTTTTTTTTTTTTGCATGAAGTGATGAAATTGCAAAATACGAAAAAGTAGGTGTGAGTTACCAAAGAGGTTGAGGTCTCCATCTTCGAAGGCGGGGACTTGACCGAATGGCTGGATGAATGGAATCAAGCAAAAAACGTGTTAATCGAAGAGACGAATTAATGACTGCATGTTTGAAGGTTTTTCAAGATTGATAATGCTTACGTTGAGGGAAAGGAAGGACTCCTTTTTGTGGGCACCGGATCTCATGTCGACGGGAACAAACTCGAAATCGAGACCCTTTTCGTTGAGGCAAGCGAAAACTCTCATTGCTGCAGTGGAGAAAGTGCTGCCGTGGACTTTGATTGCCATTGATTTGATGGTGAAAGAGGTAAAGAATTAATCAAAAAAAGCTGAATGATGGTAAGTTGTTTATTGCTGAAGATGAATTGGAATGAAGATATGGAGAGCAGGTACTTGTATATATATAGTAGAGTTTAAAATCTTGAATATGTATTGGATCATTACATATGTGCACATGTCACTTTATTAGTAGCAGTATTTTATTTTTTTTGAATGGGGGACGATTGATTACATAAGTGCACATGTCATCCATTTTTTTTTTACCAGATCAAGTTTGATTCTTCCTAGATTTGATTTTCCTTCTTTTATGTAGATATTAATTATTATTCTATTTTTTTAATGATTATTTTATTGGGACTATTAGTGAGAACCCCCTCTAACATTATTTTAATAAGGATGGGTCCAGCTCATTTTCCTTTATTAGTGAGAAACCCATTTTTTTTTAATTCTCAAATTTACCCTCCCACTATTCACTACTCATTATCCATTAGTTTGATATATTTTTTTATTTTTTATATTTTTATTTTAATTTTCGTTTTTTTATTTATTTCTTCTTTAAAAAATAATATTTTTAAAAAAAAATTTATGTTTTTTTTAATATTTTTCTTTAAATATTCCTTTTCTATATTATTTTAGTTTTCAGTTAAAACAACTATATGCCAATAAAACGACTATTATTAAAACGACTATTATTAAAACGACTATTATTAAAACGACTATTACGAAAACAACTATATTACTGTACGAAAACAACTATATTGTTGTACGAAAACAACTATATTACTGTACGAAAACAACTATATATCTGTAAATAACACCAACACAATTTCAACAAAAAACAAACATCCAATATACTATTGATTGAACACAAAATTAGTCTTCAATATAAGAATTCAACCAAAATCTCCAACTAAGAAAATTGAGATTCGAGAATTGGGTTAAAAAAATCAGAGAAGAAGAAGAACCACAACAATCAAATAATATTGGCGGTGGTCTCTATTGAAATCTCAAACGCAATATCAACCCTAGCGCCGCTGCGTAGTCTCGTCATTCTCCCTACCGAAAACCCTAATACCGTCCATGACGAGAGAATTCCAGGGGTGGAGACCGCCTTCTTTTCGCGGCGGTGGAGGGAGGAACACCGATGGGAGAGAGTAGACGATGACACAGAGACAGAAGATGGTTGGATGGCAGCATCGGCAATGCAGAGATGGGGAGGGTTGGAGGCGGCGGTTTATAGAGAGAAAATGGAGAGAGAAATAAGAGAAATAGATATAACGTAAAATAGGTTTGGTTATTTTAAATATAACATAGAAGGACAAATTAGGTATATTAGTAATATTAAATATAATATTAATTAAAAAATAAATTATTTAATATAAGGTAGGGGGTTCTCACTAATAATGAAAAAGAGGTTATATCCACCCTTATATAAGTAAATGAATTGGGGGGTTTTCACTAATTATCCCTATTTTATATTGCGTAACACTTTAACACTATAGTCTTGGTAAATCGAGCTGCAATTAATTATATACATGCATGAGATATGCAAGCGAATAGTATAATTTAATGTTAAACATACATAAATCATAAATGTGGTATGTGCAGCCACCTACCAAACCAAGATCCTAAAACTATGGGTAGTTACAATATTATCAATAGCATTGACGGCCCCGCCTAATTTTTTTTAATGAATTCAATGACTCCAAACTTAAAATTCTGGCATCGCTGATGTATGCATTCGAAGAAACGAACACTTTCAACCTTTCGCCAATCCCTATTAATGGAGGTTTTATACACAAGCCTCCAATTAACCAAGATATTTATGGTAGCCCCACACATTTTATTTTGGTCTAACTAAAGATTTAACAAATTCAATTAATTAATTTACCAACAAATCCGGACTTCAAAAGATGCTCTAGAGATAGACTAATCTTTATTTTTTGGTACCATATGCACAATCCTAATTGTTTATTCATTTTTCTTGACTATTCAATATCAACTTGCATATAAAGTAGCTTCAATTATTGACTATACTTGTATTAGAAAATTAAAAAAATAAGGCAATCAACCAATTATAAATTATGTAATTTTTTTTTATTTTTTGAGAAATGTAAAATTCAAAGCATATCAAAATCAACTTTTCCCAAAAGCCAAAAAAAAAAAAAAGAAAAAAAAAAGGATTTGTTTTTTTTATTTGGGGAATGTGGAGCAACAATAATAGCCCACCATAATCATCCCCATAATAACCATAATTAAACAAATCAAAACAAACAGAAAACCACGATATTGCCATTAACAACAACTCGAATTAAGCGGCGCCAGTGACCTTAAGCCAAGCGGGCCGGGCCAAGAGATCCGAGCACCACGCGCTGACATGGGGGCGCGCGTCGAACAAGGGCTTAACCTTGGTCTTGAACAAGTTGCTGATAATGGGGATGTGATGAAGATCGGCCAAGGAATATTCCTCTCCGCCCAAATACTTAGACTTGGACAAACGGGCCTCGTAGATATCAAGAACCGCCGATAATTGGGCCTGCAACTTGTCGACCACAGATTCGTCGGTGGCCATACCCTTCATCGGCTTGATCAAGATCTCGAAGCTCAGAGCTTGACCGGCGGCGTCGAATTTCTGAGCCTCCACCTCGAGCCACTGTCCGATGATCGCCATCTTCTTCGGATCTGCCACCAGCAGTGGGGTACCCTTGTCGGCGTATGCATGCGCTATGTATTTCGTTATTGCCCTTGATTCTGAACAAAACAAATAAATCAATACATATTAATTAATGCATGAGAATACATATATAAATTCATATATATAAAAATTGAGAATGATTACCAAAGAGAGTCAAATCACCATCTTCAAACCCAGGTACCTGGCCAAAAGGCTACATACATACATACACCAAAATAAAGAAAATAAGTTAATTTAATAATATGAGAAGAAATAAAATAAAATTAATGATGTTAGAAAATGATGATTACATTGATAGAAATGAAGGGCTCCTTCTTGTGTTGACCAGTTGATAGATCGACAAGAACGAATTCATAGTCGAGATTTTTCTCAGCTAAGCAGAGAAGAACTCTTCTTGCTGCTGGAGAAAGTGGGTGTCCATGGACTTTGATCCCCATTACTTAGACTTTATTGATTTGCAGAAAAATAATGAAATTGATGGAAGAAGAAGTTGATTTAGAAGTGTTGTGGGAGATGAAATGTAAGTGAGGGGGGTATTTATTAATGGGGAGAGGGAGTACTTTCTAGAATAAGTACACTTTTTTTTTTTTTTTAATTATTATTATTACTCCATTATCAAAGTTCTATATTATCTATTATTCAACCATGTGAGAAAGCATGGAAATTGGAATACTATGTTCACACTGTTTTTTTTTTTTTATTTAAATAACTCAAATTCAACCTTTGAAGAATTTGCATCCAATCATATAGTTCACTGAACAATACACTTTTATATAATAGTTTGCAAATCATATCATACGAAAGACATACAACTTTAAACTAACAATGTATATACAAACTCACTTTGTTCCAACTGCTAGATCATCCATTAGCCTTATGAAGCATGTTTACATTGTTCTTGTATATGACTTTGCTTAAATTGACCGGACTAGCTTTTGTACTTTAATATACACACAATTAGTCGACAAGTTGCATTATTTTTCAACCTCAACAAAAAAACAAATAAATAAATGTAAAACTATTAGAACTTTCCGGGATGATTCATCCCACATTTTCATACAATAATTAAACTATCAAATTGCACATATTTTCATGCATTAATCAAAGTACCAAATTGGAAGGTCAAACACAATAATCTAGGCCGGCCCTCTAAAAATAAAAAAAAATTCACAAGTTTTTTGTATCGAAACACACTAGCAAAGCAACCGCATATGAGATGTGATACAAGTTCAAATTAATTTTTTTCAAGAAAATTTTCCAGTAAAAATGAAAAGATATATAATATAAACAAGCAGATTTGTTTAATGTTTAGTTTTTTCATTTGCACAGCCAAGTCCTTGAAGTTTCACACCGCTAGTTAAATATACATTTAATATGTACATGATGATGATGATGATAATAAAACCCATAAATTAGCAGGCAAGAGAAAGATGACTGGCACGCAATTAATCCATCCTTAAAAAGCATCTTCAGGCTTTAGAAAATTGTGATACTCCAATTGTGTCATCTCCCCACCACTGCCTGGGTCGAACTTGCATCGGTAAAAACTGCATACATTCCCAATTACCAATCAATATATTTTCTGTACAATATACACCGAGAGAGAGAGAGAGAAGATCTGACTGTATAATTGCATATAATAAACAAACTACAGAAAAATTATGAACTGACTGACCTTCCATCCAAGCCAAGAATTACCACTGTATTTTTCTGGTGACCGAAAGCAACAATATATTGGGATCCTTCTGGCAAACGAAACTGCGCCACTGACCATTCTGAGCTGAAATACTTTGGCAACACTCCTGCCAAATAAACAAGAAAAATAATAATTTCACTCCTTCAGTCATCCTTGAGAAAGAAGGGGCATTGATCCAAGTTTGTTTACTTGCCAACACTCATCAAAAGATAAAAAGATAAATAAATAGAATATTTACAGGAACCAAAACGGAGCATCTAAGGAATTTATAGACCACCAGAGAGAACCAAACAAAATTAAATTCCGACATGACCTACACGGGCTCAAAGATGTTGTCACACTGATAACAAGAATCCAAATAGACATTTTTTAAGACCAATGGTAGAATGACGCACAGTTATAGTGAAGCTAAAAAGAATATAATAACCCTATGCACAACTACTAAGTTTTCACTCCTAAAAACACAAGGAAAGGTGAAGAACCTTTATGAAATATCTCGATCATGGTCATACCGACTGGACATCGATAACAGGATAGTTTATTCAAGCGTTTCTAAAAAAAATAATATTAGTACAAGTTTATCACCATTCAGTGGATACAGACCGTTAGCCCAATACTGAAAAATTTCAGCACATTCAGTTCCCTTACCAAATCAATCAAATCAAAAGCAACCATACACACAACCCAATTTCCACATCAATTGCACCTTCTCTAAATAATTTTCGGCAGTGAAGTTTGATAAACAAAACACCTTTCTACTTGTTATCAGTCCATGACGAGAACTACACATTCTACCATAAACTATTCAACAACAAAAGATGTACTGCAAGAAACATTATACCTTTAATGAAAGACAGAGAAGAACTTGAAGTCGCAGCTGGATCAGGACTACTCGACCTCTCACTCCCAACGATTCCAGAATTAACCTTAAGGCCAAAAACATGAACAGTGCCCTTATCACTTGAGACTACCAGCCACTGGGCAGTTGGCGAGAACGCCAGGCTATATATTTCTGCCCTGTCTGCACCCCTCCGTACCTGCATTACATGTCCAGCAGGTCTTTTCAGATATTTGTTTCATTAATGTCTAGCTTTTGAGGAAGAACACAAGCCAATTAACAAGAATAGAAAAAAAACACCCAGAAATAGATCTTTCTTCCTCACTCACAGGCATAAATATTCCAAGGAATGCGCACTCCATATTTTTTTCACAACTTAGATCATGTTCAAACAAGCACGCCTTAAAAATTATGCATGTCCAGGATCACTTAAAAATTAAGCTAACACGCCCCTAGTCTATTGTTAGTTACTGTTGCATGAACCAAATACAATGGAACACATTTACCGCTAACGAAAAAATCGACACAAACCCAACGACATACAAGTCTAAAGTTATAAAACATGCTTATTTATTACATAAATATGATTTACCTCCTGTAGCAAACTCCCATCCTGTGTATTATATATCCGAACCAGCGTCCCCTTACTGCTAGCAGTTGCCAGCAGATTCCCGTCTTGAGACAGTGAAAAGCAAGCGATTCTCGAATCATGAGCCATGATGTATTTAGTCCTCTTTGATGCGTAATGCTCCACCCTAACCTGGCCCTTCAACAACCCTGGACAAACCAATACAAACGACCCCGCAACCTGTGACACCGTACAGAGTCCCTTGGGGTTTGCAATGGTCTCAATCTGATGCAGGAGCTTCAAATCAGCAAAATTGTACACGAAAATTTTCTGCTCGAGAATAACAATAATCCGATCCCTTCTTAAACGAACCCCGCGCACTTCAGACCTAAAGGATAGTTCCCCAATACACCGGCTTTGATGATCATCCCAAATCATGACCTTATTCAACGGATACTGAGGCGAATCGCCACCTCCGACTAAAGCAAGGATGTTGCATCGGAAGAGCATCTCAACGGAGCCAACACCTCCACCGCCAACACCCCCACCGTTTCCTTCAAAATCCCGGCGAAAGATCTCGCGGAAGGGATCGCAGTTGAAGATTCGGAACCCGCGGTCAGTGCCGGTTGCGAAACAGCCATAGTCCTGGTTGAACGAGAGGTGGAGGAGCTTGATTGGGCTAGGGTTTGAGTTAGGGTTCGAGACGGTGGAATTGTTGTTGGTTGAAGTTAACGAATTGATGCTTCCGTTCTCGGAAACGGCGTTTCCTTCATCTGACGGTGGGTCCGGCAGAATCCGTTGGTGCTGTTGATCGAGGTAGGGTTGGAGCATGGGGGAGATCGAACTGGGATCGGGGTTAGGATTGTGGATGGGGGAATTGTTGTTGGTAGCAGCGGAAGAATCGCGGCCGTAGATGTCGGAAACGGCGTCGTAGCGGGTCACATCATCCGGCGGCGGATCTGATTGAATCCGTTGCTGCTGCTGCTCGAGGTAGGGTTGGAGCATGGGGGAGATGAAATTGGGGTTGGAATTAGGGTTTGGGTGAGAGGAAAAGCTTGAGATAGCGGCCATGAATATTGAATTACCAGAGATGAGATGCAGAGGAGGAGGGGAGGGGCGGAATAAATTGGGAGTGGAAAGAGGCGTAAGGAAGAGACTCGAGAAGAGTGGTTTAATTGACGTTTATAACCTTATAGCCTGGGGATGATTGAGGGAGATAATTGGTATTTAACTAGAAAAGATGACAGTTTTGTCCCTGCGTATGATGCGGTAATTGGTGAACACGTAACGTAGAATTTCTGCAAAACTATGTCTGACGTGGCACCGCCCCCACCCAATGATGTTTGGTCTTCGGGTCATAATAGGTTTGGGCTTTGGGTGTGTAATAACTTCTAGTTCTTGGGTAGTTGGGTTGGGTGCTAATCCAAAACGGGTCAAATAGGGTACAACTTGGATCCGGATCACAAAATCAAAGATGAGTATTGAAAAAAATTAACAAACATTAATCAAATTAGTTTTTACATATTTTGTGTTCTTCTACTAATAGGATTCTCTCAAGCCAAGCTTTATAAATCAAATCCTAACAAGCTCTTAACAATCAATCTCAAATCAAATAAGTAATTTGATTTAATTATTAGCTTTACAAATTCACATACATCGATGATCGCACTGTATATTTTTCGAAGTGCCGGGACCAAAATGCTATAATCTTGCTTAAAAAATCCTGGCAAGAAACTGAAAAGCCAATATATATTATGAACAGGTTGTTAAGCATCCTCGTAATTTTGTAACGGAAAATGTAACCCCGTAATTTGGACATGGTATAATGCCAATCAATTTGGTATCCGGATAAGTTTATGTATACATTTACCTGTAACAATATCGTGTCTGAAGAATTTGTCAAGGCTGGAGCTGGGCAAAATACGAGCATAGAATTATTACTTCGTCTTTCCCAATGGCCTGCACCTCCTTCCTGCTCCAAATGAACGCACATTATTAGAGAAATTGACACATTAAATATAAATGGCTGGCATCATATAGAAACAAGATCTTTAACTTAGAAGTATATTCTATCACAAGTTAGTCCTCAACCTAAATCGGGCAAATGAGACATAAATTCGATGAAAGCAAGTGCTTAAATTGTGAGGAAGTATAGATTGATAGAAGCTTTAAGCTATCTAGGAATTTCTTGAAAGAGTATCGGCTGACCTGTGTAAACGGCATGTAACATTTAAGTTAAGTGTAAAATCTAGTGTTTACTCATACCAAGGAGGGCGTACGCAAATCAGGTTGTCGACTTCGAGCTCGACATCCCCACACCTTCTTGGATTGAAAATGATGGTCAAAGTTCTCGCTGAATCGTTAGTTCTCAATTTCAAGTTATTCTCCCAATATGAGTTCTGAAGATGTAAGAAGACAGAGAGAATCACTGAATATAAGCATTGGAGAATGATGAAAATATGTGGATCTGTTTTCAGCTTTCACTGGTGCAAGTATTATCAAGTCACATCCACTTGTTAATCCTCGTTTCATAAATCATATACAGGAGAGAATGAAATTAAATAATTTGTATTTGATTCCTATAGAACTTCTTACGGGGATCTAATTTTAGAAAGGTTTCAAGTGCAAGAATAATTTTGTCATGTTTTAGCCTAGTTCGGTATTCTGGCAGCAAACAAACCTTTCCATCTCCAACACAAGTGCAAGAACAAACAATCAGCTTTGCTTCCAGAGACCTTGACAAAATTCTGACAGTAATGCACATCCTTTCATCTGGAAAAAGAAAAATCGAAATCTAAGATTAGCAGGGGCGAAAATGCCATTGTTGTTGACTGAATATGCAAGGTTTACTTTTACCCTTGAAACCGGTTTCTGCACTTATATTCTTCAAGTAATCCAGATCTCCTTCTTTCTCACTCTGCATTACTTGCAGCAACCTCTTATGCAGTCCACCACTGCATAATTTATCAATCCTTAGTATGAAAACAATGTACTATATTATCTATGTTGTGAAATCACATTCGAGTAGGGTGTAAAATCAAGATGGCTCGACAAAAGCTCAAACTTTCTGACTAGATCATGAGCAAAAAATCTCACAAGCCGGCTAGTCAGATTTTTTTTAATAGACGTAATATATGATAATAATATATATAGTAAAAGTACACATGATAATTAAAATTTGAGCTTGTGTTTGGCCTCGAGCTTGAGCCCTCTACATGAGCCAAGCTCAGCTCAAACTTGAGCTACCTCTATGTTGAAAGTCCCAGTTCTGTACCCACCACGAGTGTTGAGGAAAAGCTTCACGGGGTATCTCATCAATCACAGAGGCCACTCCAAAAGCTTCATGAAACTGATCTGCCATACTTCTAGGGATAATTGACTTTAGACTTTGAGGATTCTCCTGAAGCAATGTGTTCGAATGTAAAGCAGGTGATCAAATAACACACATAAACAAAATTCATGAGAACTCTGAAACACATTCACCTAGAAAATACCTCATCGTCACTAGGAAAGGGAGGTACATCATCGAAAGTCTCCAATAGATCATTGTCATCCAGGTTTCTATCACCCAGTGGGTTCATATTTCTTTCTAAGACTATATGCGCTCTTCTTCCTCTTCTCTTTATCTCCTTTATTTATTATAATAGAATTAGATATAACATTCTGAGGTGGGAAAGAAAATAAAGTCAATACAGAAGAAACCAACCGGTTCTGAACTCCCTTGCAGCATTTCGTTCTTTGCTTGGAAGCAGTACAGAAAGTCAGCCATTGAATGTTCTTTGGAATCATGTTTATGGGCAAGTTCAAAGGGGACTATATGGTTTTCTGGCTCTTCAGGTTTTCTATCATGTAAACCAAACTTAGACTCACCCATAAATTCTTCCATATCTTCATCAGCTGCAGCACCAATTTGAACTGGTGTTGGAATATTGTCGGATGATGTAGTGCCGTACCTATCAGTGACAATTAGGTCTTTCATACATGAATGGGAACCGAATGAAAATTTGGGCTTGGATTTTTTTCTGCTGCCTCCACCTACAGATGATAATGAGAAACTTTGTGAGAATGAAGGGATATATGTACAAGAAACATATTCTTCATAGAAGGATGTTTCCTTTCGGGACACTCAGCTACACCATACGAGGAGTGATTAACATAAATAGAAATATAGAATAAGTTTTATATGATGTCTTGCCTGCTACTTTTGTAAAATGCATGCTCAATACCTTTAGAGGATTTGTTTTCTTTCACAAAGACACCTTCATTTAACCAAACCAATGCCTCCACTTCCCGACTAGCTTCAGACCATGTACCACCTGTATCCAGTCTTGCACTTTGAAGGGACGATAGGTTGATTTTCTGGATGTGGTACAACTCGGCATTAAGAGTTGATTATCACAAGAATATGACAGGCTATGAAGTGTTTCTCTTTACAACGAAGTACTAAACGAGGGTAATAAAGTATTCTAACATCAAACCTCATCGTCAGAAATAATTTCGTCATCGGAATGCGAGATTGAAGCCATTGTTGGTAAGTATATTAGTCCTATATCGGTATGGGTGTTGGTAGCAGAGGGAATCCTAGGGTAGTGACTGGAACCATCACCGTCATCGAAGAGAGGAATTTCAACTTCATCTTCAATATTGTAACCTCCTTTTATCTGTCAACAATAAGATTGTGAGACAGAAACCACAGCCATTCAACTTTCAC